GGAAGGCGTTGATCAGCATTTTCTCCTTCGTTCTTAACCCAGTCTTTATCACTCGGTTTTTTCTCATTATTACGAATTTTTAACGAGTTATCCTGTGGCTTTTCATCTTGTTTGGAAGTGCCTAGGTGGATACACACTAGAGCTGCCAATTTCTCCTTAAGGACTAAACTTGGGATGGAAGTGGGGCTGGCAGGTTGTTTTGTAGGTGCGGCACCCCTCCTTGCCAGTCCTGCAGACGGGTCTGAGTTTTGCCTGGACTGGTGCATGGGAAATGCCCCCCAGCCCCCAGGGGTCAGGCAGGCTGTGCTTGGCAGTCTTGGTCCTGACAGCTGTTGCTCCCAGGGAGGGCGGAGCCCTGGGCTTCTGAATACCCGCAGTCTTGGTTTGTGTGCAGGTTAAAGCTGATAGCTGATGCCGCTTGTCCCCTTCACCCTGCTGACCTTGTTCCTTCCCAGGGCTGGAGCGAAGGTGGGTCTTCTCGAGGTCTTTTGTCCTGCGTCGAGCAGTCTTGGTCCTGACAGCTGTTGCTCCCAGGGAGGGCGGAGCCCTGGGCTTCTGAATACCCGCAGTCTTGGTTTGTGTGCAGGTTAAAGCTGAGAGCTGATGCCGCTTGTCCCCTTCACCCTGCTGACCTTGTTCCTTCCCAGGGCTGGAGCGAAGGTGGGTCTTCTCGAGGTCTTTTGTCCTGCGTCGGCGCCCGCGGGTGTGGGAGATGTGGGTCCCAAGGGAGGACCGCTTGCTGCACTGCGGGGAGAAGTGCCCGAGGGAGGCGGCCCCCGCACCAGGCCGTCCTCCACAGGAGGGCCGTAGGGGCCCCACCAGGCTGCGAAGATTGGGGGGGGCTGGTTCCTGCTAGCTGGTGCCGCCCAGCCTTCCTCCTGTGTGTCCCTGCACGCAGTCCCAGCCCCTGGTGTGGTGGCTGTCAGGGCCTGAGGGGTGCCTGGTAGACTCCCCGAACACCAGGACGTGGGCACTTGCCAGGATGGGACCTGAGTGACCTGCTGCCTCCTCCTCCGAGCACCTCTGGGGAGGGTGGAAGCGTCGGTGCCGGGAAGTTCCTGTTGTGCCCCTGCCTCCTGGGCTGTGCTCCTCCCTGCTGGGTGGGTCCTGTGGGCCAGGGGACGTGGGGTCTGCAGGGGAGCGGGGTCCCAGGCGTTGGCTCTTCTGGACAGGTCTCTGCAGCATCCCCTTGACTCTCCTTGAGAAGGAGCGAAATTAGTGGATCACCTGTTCTGCCCACGCCGGTCACTCAGCGCACACGTCTGTAATGTGAAGCAGGAAGAAGGGGTGCGGACGGTGTCGTAAGGTGGCTGTGGCCGAGTGAGTCGGTGCCTGGGGACAGCTTTGCGACGCTGAGAGGGTAAAGGGAAAGTGGGCCTGGCGGGGGGGTCACTGTTCACGATGTGGTTTCTTTCAAAATGCTGAACAGTTCTTACTCAGATTCTGAGCAAACAACAGACTCCTATGATTCATAAAGTGGAAATGTCCCTGTAAAATGTTGGACCCCACACAATGTGCAAGGTGGGGTCTCAGCTGTGAACACCCAGCGGCAGCGGGGGCGCGGGGTGGAAGTCGAGGCTCAGGCTGCAGTTCCTGGCTCGGGGCCGCGCAGGGTGGCTGGGGCCTGGCAGAGTGAGCCGTGCAGAAGGCCACCACGTCAGGTGAACCGCGCCCCCTCAGAAGCCCCGGGGAGCAGCAGACCTCCCATGAGCCCCCAGGAGAGAGGGGCCAACCATCTAGGAGGCGCAGAGCTGAAGCCTGGGCAGCCCAGGCCAGCGGGGACACAGCAGGCCTGCTCTGGCCCCCAGCCACCACTTGAGCCCTGCATCCATTGGAGGAGTGTCTGCAGTCCTAGGCCCCCGGCCGGGTCCTGCGGGGCCTCCTCCCCGTGTGTGAGGTGCCCTTGCCCCGCCCCTGTGTGTGCTGGGCAGTCGCCCTGGCAGCTGGGACTGGTTCTGTGCCCACCTGTGCCCACCAGGTGTTCCATGCATCCCATGAACCTGCTGGTCCTCGAGGATGGCCGGGGGACTGCAGTTCTGCCCGGACAGGTGTTGAGGCCACAGAGGGGTTCCAGGCTGGGAAGCTGTGGGGTCTGGTGCTGTCCCTGCGGGCGGGCCTCCCTTTGCACTCGAGTGTCTGGTTGTCTGAGTCTGTAACGCACACTGTACATTTCTGCCAAGATTTCGGGGGGTTGGTGGGTGAGCGGCAGTGTAAGTGTGAAGAGCATACTTGAGATGTGTTTTAACCACGCTGTGCGGCTCGTGGGATGTTAGTTCCCCTAGAGGTATGGGACCCCTGCCCCTACGTGCAAACACAGCATCCTAACCCCTGAACCGCCAGGGAAGCCCCTCCTTGCGGTTGTTTAGAACCTCCGAGGCAGTGGGTCAGTCTGCCGGCTCCTGTGTCTTCTGCCGAGCCGGCCCCCCTGCCATTTTCAGCTGGACCCTGCTGTCTGCCCTGAGGATCCTCCAACCCTGGGCGGGCTCCTGGGCAGGCGTCCCACTGGTTCCCGTCCGTGGGCCCTCTGGCTCAGCTGCTGTGCGTGGGGGAGTGCTGGGGGGAAGGCGGAGCTGGTCCCAACTCTGTGAGCCTGTCCGCACAGGGCCCTCTGGGGCATCTGGCAGCGCTGTGAGCAGAGGCCCTGAAGGCTGGGGGCTGGCCGTCCTCTCTGGAGTTGAAGTCCTGAGTGAGGAGTCGGGCGGGCTCAGGCGGGAGGTGGGCGAGGTCCCTGTGTCACCGCCCCTTGGCCACGGAGGCTGGTGTGCTTGCAGCGGCTCCCTGTGCCCTGCTTCCTCCTGGGCCCTCCCTGGGCGCCCGCTCCTCCCCACAGCTCCAGGCTGACACTTGGGTCCTGGTGCCAAGTCAGCCGCAGTCCTTTCGTGGGGGCGGCCTCGGGGTGGGTCCCTGTGGCCAGCACCCACTGGTCTGAGCCCCCACAGAGGTGACTGCCTAGAGGATGGACGTCTGCGGCCTTCCTGGGAATCACTGTGTCCAGCACTGTCCTCACAGGGTCTGGCTCATGCAGCTGGAGAATCCGGACCTTCTAAGGCGTCCGGGGCCAAATCTGAGCTCCCCGTTTGACAGAGAATTCCAGGAGTTCCCTCCCAAAGAAGTGGGTTGTTGGCAGACGGTTGAGGGGAGGTGAACGCACAGGAAAGATGGTGGAGACACCCGAGTTCTGTTGGCTTGAGAGTGTGTGGGAGAATCTTCTCTTCCATCTTGAAAAAATTTGTGGCAAAATATACGCAACATAAAATTTATCATTTTAAATATTTTAGGTGTACAGTTCAGTGGCCCTCCCAGCATCTCCAGAGCTTTTTCATTTCCCAGCTGAGACTCCCCACTGAGCGCCCCCTCCCAACCCCCACACCACCTCCGGCCCTAGGCAGCCTCACTCCCTCCACTCTCTGTCTGAGGCTCATGCTCCAGGGACCTCGCAGAAGGGAGTCAGGCAGGGTTTGTCTTGTGTCTGGCCTGTTTTACTGAGCACAATAATGTCTTTAAGGTTCATTCCTGTTGCAGCATGTGTCAGATGCTCCTTCCTCTTTAAGGTGTGATAATACTTTATTGTACGAATGGACTGTGTTTTGATTATTCATTCTTTCATCTTTAGAGACTGGGGCTGTGTCCATCTTTTAGCTATCGTGAATAGTGCTGCAGTGAGCGTGCATGTGCAGATGCATACATGTTGGCTGGGCTTTGTGGATTCCGTGGTGATTCTGAGTTTAATTCTCTGGGGGAGCGCCACGCTGTTCTCCATGGTGGCTGCACCATTTTCCAGCCCCACCAGCAGTGTTCACGGGTTCCAGTTTCTCTGCATCCTCACCAGCTCGGCTTGTTTTCTGTTTTTTTGATAATAACCATCTGATGGGTGTGATGTGGTGTCTCATATGGCTTTCATCTGCATTTCCCTGATGATCAGTGATTTGAGCACCTTTCATGTGCTTATTAGCTATTTGCATATCTTCATTGGAGAGACATCTCTTTTAAGTCTTTGGTCCACTTCTTAATTGGATTCTTTTTGTTGAGTTGTAAGATTTCTTTGTATTTTCTGAATACTGGTCCTTTTTCAGATACATGATTTGCAAGTATTTATCGTGTCCCATTTTGTGGATCGTGTTTTCCTTCTGCTGAGTGTCTTGATGGGTGGGAGCCAGGCTTTGACACGTGGCCAGCTGTGAGTGGGGTGGAACGCCCTCAGGTTAGAGGCCCCTCGTGCAGCGCTATGGTGGACTCGGCCCACGTGCCGGGTCTGCATGGAAAATGCCCATTTCCAAGCCTCCCTGAAGCAGGTGTTGTGACTAGCCGAGAACCTGGGATGTTTAAGGCTTCAGGGAGGAGGAGGAAGGACTGAGCTTTTAGGACACCAGTTGAAGATCTTGCGTGTAAGGTGATGTGTCCAGCACTGTCCCTGCTCCTGCCAGGGATGGGACTTCTTGGGCTTTTTCCTCATGAAAGTATAAGAAAGTAATAAACAGGGAACTGCTACATGATATAAGAAACTGAATCCAATATGTTATATTAACCTATGATGGAGAAGAATCTGAAAAAGGATACATGTATAAAACTGAACTGCTTTGTGGTATAGCTGAAGCAATTGTAATTCAACTATACTTCAATTTTAAAAGTATTCAAAAAATGAAAAGTAAAGACGTGGCCAGCAGAGGTTCTCTGAGAGCTTTCTGGAGAAGCAGCGTTTCAGATGCCACTTTGTCATTAACAGTGCTCCAGACACACTCCAGTTGTCAGCACCTGGGTGCTGGGTGAACCCAGGAATTCAGAAAACCCATTAGCTCTGAGAAGCGCGTGCCGTGGCCAGTGCTGAGACCAGCCACCACCCTCCCTTTGGCTCACGCTTTGGCACCCACCTCGGGCCACTGGGACGCCAGCTCAGGTGACTGAGGTTTCTGGGCTCCCCGGCTGCAGCCGTGACTCCTCTGGGCTGCAGAGACCGGGTCCTGGCCAGGCGAGTCCTTCACCCTCTCTCCGCTTTATTGCAGGGATCGACTACAAGACAACCACCATCCTGCTGGACGGCCGGCGGGTCAAGCTGGAGCTCTGGTGAGTCAGGCTGCACGCCCAGACACTGGGGTGGGGGCTGCTGTGCTTCCATTGTTGCCGGGGCCGGGGAGCAGGGTGTAGTGAGTCAGGCCTTAAGGAAGCCCCCAGCACAGCAGCCGTGGAGACAGGACCACATGTGGTGCAGAGACCGGAAGGTCAGGGCTGCCTGTCCTGGCAGAGCCCAGCTCCCTTTTGCCCATAAAGACGTGTTTCCAGGGGCCCCAGTCCTTCCCTCCTTGCCCCGACCGGACTCCACATGGAGGGCGTTTGCAGACCCTCGCAGTTGATGTGTGACTTCCCCCGCACTTGGGTTCTCCAGCCCCACAGAGCAGTCTCTGGGGTGTTCTGGCCAAGGAGGTCCATGGGGCGCATGCAGAGCGGGAGGGGGCTGGGTCCTTCATGCAGCTGGGCTCCCATGGGTCGCATCCCCCCACTTTGTTTCAGGGACACCTCGGGCCAGGGCCGGTTCTGCACCATCTTCAGGTCCTACTCGCGGGGTGCACAGGTAAGGCCTGCACAGCCATCCTCCGGGGGGACCGCAGGGCTGTGGCACCACGTGCGGAGCATGGCAGCTGTGGGCTCGGGGCCAGCCGGCGGGACAGAGGGCTGAGCCCCGTGGGAAGGGCTGCTGCAGATCCCAGAGGGCGGACACAGGCTGTGGTGGCGGGCCTGCAGGGAGGGGCTGCGGGGCTGGGCTGTGTGCAGTGCGGGGGCTCCTGGGGGCCTGCTCGTCCCTGTCCTGGGCGTCTTACGGCGGCCTGGGTGCCAGCCGTCAGTGTGAGATTTGAGGCTGCACGGAGGGAAGCAGCAGTTGTGTGAACAGACCAGCTGCCCACTCGCTGCCTTTGAGAGGGGACTGGCTTCAGGGGACCTGTGGGGGGCCCAGACTCTGACCAGGTGGGGCCTGCCCCCTGATGGTGGACTGGACAGTGGAGGCCGGGCCTCCTCTGCTTGGCGAGCAGGAGCTGACCAGTTAGCAGGCGCCTCTCAGGAGTGTCCGGAGCTCCGCTCCCTGCCGCGGGCGGGCGGGTGTGTGGTGGACAGCCCTCAGCGGGGCTCCCTGCTGTGCAGGCCTCCACCGAAGTGCCGGCGACAGTGCTGCTGTCAATCCGCTTAGCCTGGCGGTCCCACCTGGAGCAGCTGCTCCCAGACGGTCAGAGCCAGCAGCCCGCAGACTGGCCGGCACCAGCGTGGACACAAGGGTGCGGGGCCGCCCTACAGCCCGGGGCCGCCCTACAGCCCAGGACTGCGGGAGAGTGCGGGCGGCCTGGTCTCTGCAGGGCTCTGACGAGGAGTCCACACGTGCACGGGGGGACGGGTGTCGGGGCCTGAGACCACGGGCTTCCTGACAGGTCTCTGGTCTTCCTGTTGCTTTTGAATGTTTCCCAATGTTTACGACGCACACGTTGCTACTTTTTAAATAAAACAGGAAATGAGCTGGGGGGGGTAGTTACCTCGGTTTATGGGGACAGGGCGATCGGGAACGGCAAGGAGGCCCTGGGGGCCTGAACGCAGGCGGGCCGGCTGAGGGCTCGCCTGCAGGGGCCTGGGGAGGGGAATGCCTTTCCGTGTCCACTGCTCTGCAGGGCAGTGGGCGTGGACGTGTCACTTGTGCTGACTGACTGCGCTAGTTCCGGAGGCTCCTGTTGCTTCTGGGCTGGAGGGACCAGGCGTGGACCCTGAGTGTGTCTCCAGCCTGGGTGGTGGGTGGGGTGGCTCTCCCGCCTGGTCGGTGCCCCGCGCTGGCTGCAGTGTGGCCTCTGCGGCCCGGGGCGCGGTCAGCGGCTGCTCCTTCCCAGGTCCTGTGTGTCCTGTTGCCCCCCTGCCCTGGCGCAGTTCCCAGAGGCCCCGCAGTTCCCAGAGGCCCCGCAGCCGCCGCCGCAGCCCTGGCTGCGCTCACAGGTCTCTTCCTGGGAGGCCCTCTCTGTCTCAGGTCTCCTGACTTGTGACCCTTGTTTTCTGTTGCTGAGGTGGCAGTGTGTGGCCCAGGCGGCCAGCTTGGGGGACCGTGTTCCCCTGTGCCATTTCCCGCGGGCTGGGCATGTGGTGGGAGCCAGGGGTGGGCAGCGTCCTGTTGAGCTGGGGCTTGGGATCAGCTGGGTTAGCACCAAGGGGAGCTCAGCCAGGCACTGGTCTCCTGGAGAGAGGTGAGTGGTCTGGGCACACACGCCCTTCCAGCGAGTGCCTGGGCGGGGTGTGTGCGGGTCGTCGGCTCTCCTCGTCAGCGCATTCGTTTCTGGGCAGAGTCGTGCTTGCGCCGTGGGGCGTGGGCAGGGGCATTCAGCCACAGCCTGTGGTTCCTGGCCGCTGTACCACAAGCGCGTGACTCAACCCTACACTCTCTGACCTTGGTCAGGTGGTGATTGCGCAGGTGTGTGTTTGTCCAAACTCATTGAACAGGTCACACCTGAAATCCCTACGTTTTGTGGTGTGTAAGCTCAGTAAACTACCTTGGCAACAAGGGTGCACACGCCCACCCCACACCTGGGAGGTTTTCTCTCACAGCTCGAGTCACCGGTGTGTGCTCAGAGGCTCGCTGCTGATGTTTGTGACAAAATGAGGTGCGTCGCCTGTGACCCAGCAGCCACACCCTCTGATGAGCCTGGGGCGAGAGTGGCTGCTGCGGGGAAGGGCCCTGGCATGCCAGGCGGTTTGCACCAGGACCCTCTCTGGGTCAGGAGACGTCTGTGGGCCCTTGAAAGACAGCAGCAGGTGACTGGGGATGGGGGGCAGGACCAGAGCCTCTGTTTCTACCCTGGAGTGCTTACTAAGTTTTAAGAAGCTGAGCCAAAGTTAAGAGAAACAGGACGAACACAGTAAGAATGTACTTCCCACTCCTGTGGCTCTCTGAGGTCACAGCTGACTCTGGGGTCCTTTGGAGGGGTCCTGGTGACCAGGAGCCTCATTTTGGGGTCTCAAGGAAGCCACCTGTGCTCACTCCCAGGCGTCTCTCCTGCCAAGTCTGTGGTCCCTTTGGTCCCCGCCCACAGTTGGCCGTCTGGCTGTCCTTCATCCTGTGACATCTCTGTCATTACCCTGACCTGGCGGACACGGGTGGTGGCGGTAGGCAGAGACTGGCGCCAGTTAGGAGACCAGCCAGAGGCTCTTCGACAGCCTTGGGGTGCACTTGAGCCTGAACCCAAGAGATGGGCTTCTCCCCATTTACTTGAGCTTCTAAACATTACTGGTCCCCTCTTCCCCACCTGCCCGCACTGGCTTGGTGGGTCTGTGCGATTGGCTGGGGCCCGCTCAAGCTGCCAGTGAGGTGAGCTGTGCGTGAGACACAGCTTGTGGGACCTGGGTCCCTGACCACGGCTGGAACCTGGGCCCCCCGCGTTGGGAGACTGAGGCCCTGGACCACCAGGGCAGTGCCTTTCTGCAGTTTTACATGTGGAACCTCCTGAAACAGGCAGGTGGACTGAGTGGGAAGCTATCATCAATGCTCAGCTGGGGGAGGATGTCTGAGGAATTCCCATTCACAATGAAGAGGACATGTAGGATGAATTAGTGCTGACAAAGTTACAAGGAAATAGAAACATGGAGATGGGGATCTTGTAACAGATTTGATAGTGCTGACCTTATCCTTGCAAGTCAGAAAACTGAAGCATAGTATTTATTAATGGCTGGCCAAGACTCCTTGTCAGGCCAGGCAAAACCGTCAGCAAGAACTAATGGGACGTGGAAGTAGCGTACACTGCATACTGGATGGCTCGGGAACCAGGACCACCCAGAGGTGCTCCTGGGAGTGGGGTGTGGTGGTGGGAGGAGCGCCTCTGCTCTCTGTGCTCCCGGAGCACAGTCCGCTCAGGTTCTGGAGCACGACGGTCCGCTTCTGACGCTTTAACAAGCCAGGACGAAATCACTGAAGATGTCCTGTCGGCGTCTGGCTTGACGGGTACTCTGGTTTCAGGGCTCCGGCAGGCGGCCATCGGGAGCATTCCCAGCACTGCTGCCTCACCCCGCTCGCCGCTGGGAGCTCAGGTCAGGCTGGTCGGAGCTCAGAGCAGCTGTGCCCACAGCAGGGTGGAGTTCAGCCTTCAGGCCATGGCCAGCACCCGGGCCCCCACAGCCTCAGCAGTCCTGGACTTTTCCGGTCGGCCTCAATGGCTGCCTGCTCACCCCACCTTGGCAGTTACCCCGCACACTGGCATGGCCAGGCCTTTGGTTGCATGGCAGCCCCTGCCTCTTGCCCTGGTATGGCTCCAGGCCAGACGGGGTCCCATCAGCCCCAGAGGAGGTTTCCCCTCCTGAAGGCCACGCTTCCATGCTCCCTCTGATCAGGGCTGCACCTGGCCTGGACTGGACTGTCAGTGAAGGCTCAGTCAGGATCCCAAAGAGCACTGCTCTCTTAACATGATGTACTAAAGTAGATTCCTTTTTATATTATGTGTAAAATGTAACATTGATAAGTTAATAAAGATGCTTGAATCAAAAACATCACATAGGAAGCATAAGCAAGGAAATAAGTCCCCGTCCAGCCCTTCCACGGGCGGTCACATCTGTGGAAGTCTGTTCTGTGTGGTATGTTTGTATTTCTGTTTTCTAAAACTGCCCATGTGTGGCATTGGGGTTCGTGTTTGTCACCTCACTGTCTGTGGTGCCTGTGAGCAGTGTGGGTGAGCGCAAGTGCACCCTGTCTTCGTTGCCTGCTCGCCTGACTGCCGGGGAATCTGGGGGCCACGCGTTTAGTTTGTCTGTTGACGTTTGTTTTATGAGCAGTTGTGTGTTGAGTATCTGCAAAGACTGAACACGAATGTTTGGCCTGGCCCTTGGTCCCTGTGCCTTTTGGTGGACTCTGCCCCCCACAGCGGGCAGCTCCCCTCCAGGCTGGGCGTCACCCCCCACCCCTTACCCGCAGGCATCTCCGCCCTGCCCTGAAAGCAGTCTCCACCTGCTCCTTAGCAGGGCCTAATTTGAAGCACAGTTTCAAGGGGAAAGGCTTCAGAATTCCTCATTTTGAGATGGAGGGTGCCTTCCATCGCAGCTGCACTCTCCCCTTCCCCATGTGTGATGGAGACGTGGGCTAGATGAAGGCGACTCCCTGCACAGGGAGGGCGTGAGCCCTGCTGGCGGGTGGTTCTTACAGAGCCTGTTTCGGGGTGGAACATGAGGCCAGAGACAGGGGTGAGCCCGGGGCCCCAAGGTTTGTGAGAGGTTGCCGCCAGGCGGGTGGAGTAGTGGTCTCCAAGGGCTGTGGTAGGGAAGTCTCCGTAGTAGAGCCTCTGTGCAGCTCTCTCGGGGGCAGCTGCTCCCGGACTCACGTCCCCTGCAAGTGTGGGTGGGACCGCTCAGAAACACCTCTGCTAGGCACCCCTGGTTCCCCCAGGAAGAGTGCCCCCCACCGCAGCCCTGTGTGCGCCTGCCTGTCTCAGGTGGAGTGAGTTTTAAACGAAGTAGGGTAACACAGCGTGCTTGAAGGAAAGACATGGAAAAACTGTGGTTCTGCCCCAGTGGATTTGTCATGTGGAGGGAGGCAGTACTGAGCCCTTGAGGTCCCTGACAGTCAGATGGCCCCCACCCAGACGGTGGACAGGGCAGAACACGGTGAGGAGACAGTTCAGGGCTAGGTGAGCCCTGTGCACAGAGCCCCCCTTAAACGCAGGAGGAAGGTTCAGAGCTCATTTTCCTGTTGGGTAAATTGCATGTCCACCTGACAGCTTGGCTGGTGCCCGAGTGACCCTGGCCCTGCCCATGTGGGGAAGGAGGGATGTGGGGGAGAGCCTGAACAAGACCCCGTCCATCCACGGGAAATGACCTCGTAATGCCTGCACTTCTCTTGCAGGGAATCCTGCTGGTGTATGACATCACCAACCGCTGGTCCTTTGACGGCATTGACCGGTGGATCAAAGAGATCGACGAGGTAGGTGTGCTGCCCCAGACTCCCTTCCAGGGCCACGCCCATCCCTGGCACGTGGGCCGCCATCCCCCACTTGCAAGGGGAGCCTCTGTGGTCCCCACTTGCAGCGCTTCCTACGCCCAGGTTCTGTGCGTCCCCATCCGCTGGCTGCTATGGCACCGTGGGTTGGGGTCCTGGGCCCCCATGGACCCCACCTCAGCACGGAATCTGTGGAGGGCCTGCCCGCGGGCTGGGGGCCGGGGGTGGGTGCAGAGGGGCATCCCGCCACTGCACTTCTGCTGAGTCCTGCACACCCCCTAGCACGCACCCGGAGTCCCCCGGATCCTGGTGGGGAACCGGCTGCACCTAGCCTTCAAGCGGCAAGTTCCAACAGAGCAGGCGCGCGCCTACGCGGAGAAGAACTGCATGACCTTCTTCGAGGTCAGCCCGCTGTGCAACTTCAACGTCATCGAGTCCTTCACTGAGCTGTCCCGCATCGTGCTCATGCGGCATGGCATGGAGAAGATCTGGAGGCCCAACAGAGGTGATGCGGGGGCGGGGCTCGGAGGGGAGGGGCCGGTTGTGGGGCGGGGCTAAGATGGGAGGGGCCTGTTGCAGGGGCGGGGCTTGTAGGGGAGGGGCCTGTTGCGGGGGCGTGGCCTGGAGGGGAGGGGCCGGCTGCAGCCTGACCTGTCCAACCGCCAGCCAGAGGACAGGTTCCAGGCCCCATTCCCACCAGAGCAGAGCTAACGAGCCGGCCACGGGGGCTCAGTTCGCACCCAGGGTGACGGGTTTGGGGGGGTCTAGCCGCCAAGCCCTGCGGGGTGGGGAGGAGATGGGGGTGGGGTGCCCAGTGGCTGCTCTTGGCTTGCCTGGCTCCAGAAGGGGGTTGTTCTGCTTCAGGAAACCAGGGCGCTCCTACTCGCTGGCCAGTGGGGCTGGGGGCGGCGGCAGCAAGGGCAACAGCCTCAAGCGGTCCAAGTCCATCCGGCCGCCGCAGAGCCCCCCCCAGAACTGCTCGCGCAGCAACTGCAAGATCTCCTAGCCGCGGGGGGCTCAGCCTGGGAATGCTCCTGGCGGGCTCTGGGCCCCGTGCTGTGTGTCGGGGACTTTGGCCACACAGCCCCTCCTGGGAGGCATGGGGGACGCACCTGGTAGGCTGGTGGTCTCGGCCAGACCAGCTGCACAGGACAGCGGGGACCATGCTGTGCAGATGCTGGCGGAACACGCCGGGACCCCGAGGAGCGGCTGAGAAGGGCCCTGAGGAGGCTGTGCCTGGCGATGGCCTGAGGACTGGGGCCAGGCCCCCTTTCTTATTTATGTAAAGGATGGTTGACCCGTTTTGTACATTTTTAAAGGACCAGCAGGGAAGCCTCTGTGCAGCCACGCAGTGAGCGCACAGCTGCTGAGGGGACGAGCCCGGGGACACTGGGGGAGGGTGGTGAGGCTGAGGCCAGAAGAGAGCCACCATCCAGGCTTGAGTCTGAACTCACAGTGCACTTCACACGGGGCATGGCCATGGGGTCCAGCGGGGGTCACGGGGACCCCCAGCTGCACTGTCGGCCTCTGAGCATGGTGGTCGGTGTGCCTGCCCCAGGATGCTGGGCTGCAGCTTCCAGGGCTCCCACTAGCCCTCCTGGAGGACAGTCCTGACCTGTGGGATCAGGGCTAGGGGTGACTCAGAGGTCTCAGGTTTCTTGGAAAAGGAAGTGGGCATACCCCCATGTCCCTCCCCCGTGCCCTCTCCCCACTCGGGGGCTGGCAGCCTTGTGTGATTCTGCACCTTCAGTTCCGTTTGTACCTGTTGCCACGTGAAGTTGGCTTGGCCTCTCTCCGAATTGAGGACACAGCTGTTTGTAGGCAGGCAGTGCTTGCTGGGCCATGAGGCCAGGGTAGGTCTGGGCCGAGCCAATCCCACTTGCCCTGGAGTTTCTAGACCCTACTCTGGCCAGCTTCAGTTTCCTGACCTTGGGTGGGATCCCATAGCTGCTCCTCACCCAGACTCACCTCTCTGTGAGGTCACACGTCACAAGAACCTTCCTCGCCCGTTTTTTCGTGGTGGACACTGAGCCCCTCCTCGAGGACCCACCAGCCAGCCTGAGCTGGAAGCTTAGCTTCCTTCCGTCCACCTGGCTGGTGACGTGACCACAGGTCACACTGGTGCTCAACTCTACCTCCTGCCTGTGGGCTCCTCCCTGGCCTGTGACCCCTTGATCAGGACTTCTGTGGTGGGTGCCCCGGGGGCTGCTGTCCTGAGAGGTGAGGTGGGGGGGGGGCCGCAGCATCTGTGGACGGGTGCCCGGCTGCCAGCAGGGCCTGCGGAGGAGGCCCACCCTTCCCGTCTGCCAGTGGGCACCCCTTTGGACTGTTTGGAGGGAACGGACGGCCCTGCGTTCACCGTGTCAACACTACCCCTGCTGCTGTCCATAGTTGCTGGACGGTCCTGCATTCACCGTATCAACACTACCCTTCGCTGCTGTCCACACCCGCACCATTCCTGGGCTTGTCTTGGGACGGTTTTCATTTCTTTGTTCAGTAAACATAATTCAGCTCTGGTCTCTTGGCTGCATTGGGAGGGAATGAAGGTCTGGCTCTAACGGGCTGGGCTGGGTGGCAGATGGCACTGCAGACGGCTGCTTTGTCCTCAGTCTCTTCCGCACCTGGGGTGTCTCCTGGTGTTTGGACCAGACCAGGCTCTTGGGACCCTGCCTCTCAAGTCAGCAGGTCAGACGCAGGGCGGCAGGATGTTTTCCTGTAGGTCTCAGAGTGGGTAGTCCAGCGCCTGGGCCCTGATCTGCCCCTGCCCATGAGGGGCTTCCTGCCTGCTGGGAGGGTGACTCCCTGTTGCGGGGCCTATAGGGGACGGGCCATGGCCTTTGGGTCCTGGCTGTTCTTAAGCTCTCCTGGGACTCTTCTCAGGGTGCTCCTAGATGCCCTTGGTTTCTCTCAGGACTGCACGGCCCCACGTAGGGCCATACATGGCCACTGAGTCTCAAGTCAGTACAAGTAAACACTCAGCCTGTCTAGTGTCCACGACTCATGTGATTAGGACTCCCCTTTGCTGGCATCCACCGTTAGCCAGTTGAGGAGAAGCCTGGACCAGGGGTTGGGCACCTGGGTGGGGGTGGGGGCCCCCTAAATGCAAGAGTTCTGTCCTACATCAGCTACCCCCCCTCAACCAACCACTGGCCACAAGAGCAAGCCCAGGTGACACCACCCACCAGGTACATTTGTGCTGTGAATGCCCCTCTCCAGCATGCCTGTGGGAAGGAGCAGGGGAAGAGGCTCCTCTGGGAAGGGAGTAGAAACCCATGGTGCCTGGGCTGGATGCAGAGCCCCTGCAGCTCTGCCTGGACACAGTCACTCCTAGGGGGCAGCCTGCTCTGGGGAAGGGGCTGGCCAGCCCTGCCCCCTCCTGCAGGGCAGCTTTGATCCCAGGGCCTGGAGGGAGGAGGGGCTCCAGTTACAGCAGTCCCCCCTCCCCTCTCTGGCCAGAGCCGCCCTTCTCCGCCCCTCGGTGACCCTTGTCGCCAGTGTCTCTGCTCCTGAGCGCCGGCCCCTCCCCGGCCTTCCTCCAGTCTCCCCGCCCCCTGCCCTGAGCTGACCAGAGGGGCCAGGCGGGGGAGGGGCCGGTGCCACATGCACGGACTCTGCTCTACCCGGCCAGCGTCTGCTGTGGGCTTCGACCTGGGCACAGGGGAACCCAGGGCAGACAACAGGGGCACCGATCGCAGGTCTGGGAGGGTGGATGCCTGCAGGGCGTGGGGCTCAGCAGGGTCTGAGGAGGGGCTAGTGGCCACACCCCCCACCCTGTGGGCCCGCTGTCCTCATGCCGGCCCTGAGGCCGCTCCTGCCGCTGTTGCTCCTGGCTGGGCTGACTGTAGGGGCCAGCCTGCCGCCCGGGCCTGGGGGCCACCCGGGGGTGTGCCCCAACCAGCTCAGCCCCAACCTGTGGGTGGACGCGCAGAGCACCTGTGAGCGAGAGTGCATCGGAGATCAGGTGAGCACCGGCAGTCCCCACCAGCCCGGCTGTAGGGGAGGCCAGCTCCTGGGGGGCCCAGGGTGTTTTGGGGGTCTGGTCGGTCGGCGCCGGAGGAGCGCAGACCTCACCCCTGCCCCAGGCCTTGCCTGCACTGCAGAGAGGACCCAGCCACCCTTGACCCTGGAGGTCATTTTCTCTTGGGGCCCCTCACTCTTCACACTGAGCTCCATGTGAGGGGCCCTGGGGACAGACACCCCCAGATGCTGCCTTCACGTGTCTGAAGATTGAATGGGCTTCCCTGGTGGCTCAGCTGGTAAAGAGTCCGCTTGAAATGTGGGAGGCCTGGGTTCGATTCCCTGGGTTGGGAGGATCCCCTGGAGAAGGGAATGGCTACCCACTGCATTATCAAGGCTTGGAGAAATTCATGGACGGTATAGTCCGTGGGGTCACAAAGAATCGGACACGACTGAGTGACTTTCATTTCTCAGTCCTCAGACCTGCCCACCCACACTCTGAAACTAACTGTTCTTGGGCCCAGCAAGGCAGAGGCCAGGGCCCTGTTTGGATGTGCTGTCCCTGCAGTCCGACTGCACAGCACTGCAGTGGCGTGAAAAACATTGTACGTCCTCCCCAGGCCTTCGTGTCCTCTGTACGATGGGAGTAACAACCACCTGCTTTGGGGGCCAAGGGTCTGGGGGCTCAGTGAGGTTCAGCAAGGTGACCTGTGAGGGGCTGCTGACAGTTGTGGCTCACCCCCAGATGGAGAGCAAACCTGCTCGGCTCTGGAGGACACTGGCGCAAGGAGGGGTGGCAGGCCTCCCCTGCCCAAGCTGGGCACGCTGGCGCTGGGTGGGAGGGAGCATCTAGGTGCCCGCTGAGCTGTGCCCCCCGCCCCCCAGGACTGCGCGGCCACTGAGAAGTGCTGCACCAACGTGTGTGGGCTGCAAAGCTGCGTGGCTGCCCGCTTCCCAGACGGCGGCCCGGCCGCACCCAGGCTGGCGGCCTCGTGTGAGGGCTTCGTGTGCGCACAGCAGGGCTCCGACTGCGACATCTGGGACGGGCAGCCGGTGTGCCGCTGCCGGGACCGCTGCGAGAAGGAGCCCAGCTTCACCTGCGCCTCGGATGGCCTCACCTACTACAACCGCTGCTACATGGACGCCGAGGCCTGCCTGCGCGGCCTGCGCCTGCACGTCGTGCCCTGCAAGCACGTCCTCAGCTGGCCACCCAGCAGCCCCAGGCCCCCCGAGACCACTGCCCGCCCCACGCCCGGGGATGCCCCAGTGCCGCCCGCCCTCTACAGCAGCCCCTCCCCGCAGGCAGTATATGTGGGGGGCACAGCCAGCCTCCACTGCGACGTCAGCGGCCGCCCGCCCCCCGCTGTGACCTGGGAGAAGCAGAGTGACCAGCGGGAGAACCTGATCATGCGGCCAGACCAGATGTACGGAAACGTGGTGGTCACCAGCATTGGGCAGCTGGTGCTTTACAACGCCCGGCCCGAGGACGCTGGCCTCTACACGTGCACGGCGCGCAACGCCGCCGGCCTGCTGCGGGCCGACTTCCCGCTGTCTGTGATCCAGCGGGATCCAGCCAGTGCTGGGGCCCACGAGGCCGCCACCTCCCCGGCCCAGTGCCTGCCCAGCACGCAGGCTTGTGTTGGCCCCCCATCTGGCCGGGTCCTCTGGCACTTTGACCCGCAGCGGCGCGGCTGCATGACCTTCCCAGTGGGCAGCTGTGCTGGGGGCACCCAGGGCTTTGAGACCTATGAGGCGTGCCAGCAGGCGTGTGCCCGTGACCCCGGGGACGCCTGCGCACTGCCGGCCGTGCAGGGCCCCTGCCAGGGCTGGGAGCCACGCTGGGCCTACAGCCCGCTGCTGCAGCACTGCCACCCCTTCGAGTACAGCGGCTGCGAGGGCAATGGCAACAACTTTGAGAGCCGCGAGAGCTGCGAGCACGCCTGCCCGGTGCCGCGCACGCCGCCCTGCCGGGCCTGCCGGCTCCGCAGCAAGCTGGCACTCAGCCTGTGCCGCAGCGACTTCGCCATCGTGGGGCGGCTCACCGAGGTGCTGGAGGAGCCCGAAGCGGGCGGCGGCGGCATCGCACGCGTGGCACTGGATGAGGTGCTCAAGGACGACAAGATGGGCCTCCGGCTCCTGGGCACCAAGTATCTGGAGGTGACGCTGGTCGGTGTGGACCGAGCCTGCCCCTGCCCCAACGTGACAGCCGGCGATGGCCCACTGGTTATCATGGGCGAGGTGCGTGACGGCGTGGCCATGCTGGACGCGGGCAGCTATGTGCGCACTGCCAGTGAGAAGCGCGTCAAGAAGATCGCTGAGCTGCTAGAGAGGAAGGCCTGCGAGCTGCTCAACCGCTTCCAGGACTAGCTTGCCCACCAACCCACGGCCCCAGCTCCCCACCAACCCGCTAGGCCCCGCCCTCCCCACACCCTCGCCCTCTGCCTGAATAAAGTCCTGGACCTCACGGCCTGTGGGTGCTGGGGGCCAGGCCCCGACATGCGCACGTGGCTCTGCTCTGAGATCAGAAGGGAGCACCAGTGAGCAGCCTGGGAGGTGGGTGCCACCTCCCCCCAGCAAGAGGACCAGGCAGTCAGCTCAGTCCTGCCTCAGCATTCCTGGGGCTTTTCTCCCTCGTCCCCTCACTGGTCAACGGGAGCAGCAGAGTCCAGGATGCCCGGGAGTCCTGACCCACAGGCCAGACCCCTCCTGTGCCCAGTATGGAAACCTCAGAGACAGACTGCCCACAGGCATCCTGCAGGGGTGCTCCTAGGAGATGACATGGGAGATACCAGCAGTGGGGCAGCAGGAAAGACTTTATTCTCAGGTTCTCAGCAGCCCTGTGGCCACTGGTCAAGAATCCCCAGTCAGCAGGGTCACACCCCACAGTCTGGCCCAGGATGGCAGAGGCTTTGTCCAGGAACACAGGTATCGTGGAAGAGGGAGTTACTGTTTTCGGAAAATTAGGCACTTGTTGTTGGCTGGCATGTCCACCTGGGGGAGATACTTGGGCTGGAGAAGCTGCTCCTGGTCCCCAGGGAGGCTGCCCACGACCCTATTCCTCTCCACCTACCATCCTCTCCAGGAGCAGGCCGCTGGCCTGGCCCAGGTCCTTGAGAAGGGAGGTGTCCCGTAGCCCCCATTCGGGGTTCCTGCATGAGGAGAGGAGGCAGGGTCGTGGCCTGGGGGTCATTTGACCCACCTGCCCCCCAGCCAAGCCCCCTACCCACCCAGCTCTGACCTGCATCTGAGAGTCAGGTCAAAGTCCACGTTACTCTGGGGAGAAATCTTCCCGTTGACAGCATAGGCCTGTGGAGATTGGAGACACGGTTCTGCCCACTGTCCACAGGCTCAACCGTCCCCAGCCAGGCACGGTGCACACTCGCAGGATGGCACCCACAGAATGGAAAGGACACACCCCTCGATGCCCCCAGACAGGGGACAGTGGAGGACAGTGCTGAGCAAGGGCAAGTGACAGGGGAGTGCTGGAGAGCAGAGGGCTTGGGTGTGCTTCAGTGCGGACAGGAAGCTGGAGGGAAAGGCAACTGAAAATACCAAGAGGAGAAGGCAGTTCAGAAAGGCCCAGATAGCCAAGGTTGCCTGCCTGGGGAGGCCCATCTCAGGCAGAAGCACTCACCCCATAGGTGATGAGCACAGCCTTGGGTTTGAGCAGGTGTCCTGCTGCTCTGAACAGGCCCTGCGGACGGGGGGAGGCAGGACAGCAATAAGGAGCTTTCCCGGGACCTCCCCAGGCCTGAATCCCCATCGCTGATACTGGGCAGATTGGGCATTCCGCTCCCTCCCAGTGCAGGAAAAAGAGTGCCACATGGCGCAGGTGGGTGGCCCCCGGGTGGCTCACCCACGCTCCCACAGACCTCAGTGCAACTCAGGGGGCTGATGTGGCTCAAGTTGATGCAGAGCAGCAGGTCCAGCGACTGCGGCAGGATCCCGCCCCACTGTTTCCAATCCCAGCTCACGTCCAGGTACATCGGGGCCTTCACGTTGGGCAGCCCGTGGGCCTGAGTGGTGGCCAAGATGCTGCGGAGGACAGCCCGTGGTGGGGAGGCCTGTGCAGCCTTTTCTGAGCCCCCGCAAGCCTGCTTGGGGGGGCTTAGAGGAACCACAATAGCGGGAGTGTCCAGGGCAGCGGGACGGGGCCCACTTTCACCCGCAGGGTCCCACCTTCCCGCCGCACCTGTCCAGGCAGCGCTGGTCCACGTCGGACGGCTGCCATTCCGCGTGGGGGAAGGCTCGCGCAAAGTGGGCTGTGTGTTGGCCCGAGCCCGAGGCCACTTCCAGCACGCGGACGCCGCGCTGGGCCGAGTCCACGTACTGCCGCAACACCCGCAGGATGGGCTCCTTGTTCCGCTCGGCGGCCTCCGCAACCAGCATCTTTCCAGTCTCCCCCGGAGAGCGCCTTCGCGAGTTTGGCACAGCCGGGAGCGTCGGGGGCGGTAGTCAGGCACCGCGGGCCCTTCAGCAGTGGTAGTCCAACGCCGCGGCGCCTGTCGCGAGTGGTATTCCAGAGCCGCGGGGCCCGTCGGGAGTGGTAGTCAGGCACCGCAAGGGGGCGGGGGCTGTGGCCTGGCCGCATTGCAATTGGCCTTCCCTCTCCACGGACTACAATTCCCAGGAGGACACGCGCCACGCCTTAAAGGCACCGCAGTCCCGGGAGGCCCACCGCGAGCCGCGGCGTCGGGACAGGGACCGGGGGCAAGATTGGGTCGTTAAGTTTACAGGCGTCCATTGGCTCAGCACCCGGTGCTCGTGGCTGTCCTAGCACTTTTTCATAGTGCTTGTTACTCCGAAATTGTCTCATTCGTGTCTCACTGGAATAGATTCCTTCCCTTTGTCTGGCTTTCTTTTCTTTTAATTAAATCCCTCGGGGGTTTTGGGGGCTGAGAGGGGAAAAAAAAGTAAGTCGTAACCTGCGCCGCCCGGGAATCGAACCCGGGTCGCAAGAATGGGAATCTTGCATGATACCACTACACCAGCGGCGCGGCTGACAGTTAGGGTGTCCGCGAGACTTAGGAGATTGTGACGCAAGCGCCGCCGCCCTGGCCCGGACAAAGTCGTCAGAGCGCAGGCGTCGCTGCGGCTTGAGCAGCAGGGCTGAGAGCACTGGACTTGAGGGGCGGGGGGGCGTGAAAGAGGGGGTCCCACCGAGTCTCTCAGGCACCCAGCACTCCAGGGGAAGGAGCGGCGATGAGGGACGCGGTTTCTGGCCGACTGGATTCGAATTGGCGCCGTGGAAACCATAGCAACCGCGGCATTCCGGAAATTGTGGGTATGGGGCCATGAGAGGGCCTTCGCGGTTAGACTGGGTTCCTGTCTGAGCGGGGCCGCGGGTGGGCGGGGGCAGCGGGGCGGAGCTCCCTGCGGTGGGTGGGGGCACGGGGCGGAGCTCCCTGCGGTAGGCGGGGCACGGCCCCAGGAGGGGCGGGCCGCCTGCGGAAGCGAGCCCGTACTGCTCAGGGGTCTCTGTGGCCTTGCGATAAGCAGTGCAAACCCGGGGTTCACGGGTGTTGAGGGGTCGGTGACCTCTGAGTCTCGTCGGGGGCCGGTTTGTGTGTTCGACCGCTCTTCCCTGGTTGTCTGGGGCCCGTGTCTCGGAAAGGGCCCTCTTAGCAGGCGTGAGGCAGCGCTCAACTCTCAGGTCTAGCTGATCTCCTTTGCTGGGCGATTTTTCTTGCGCGAGACGCTCCCTGCCCCACCCCCGCCCCCCACACACAGCCAGGGTCGCTCTGACAAGAAGCTCTGCGAATGGCGCTGACCGGGCTTTAGTATGGGGTTGCTCTCTCCGGGGCATGCAGAGTGGGACCAGAGACTACAGTATGAATGCGGTCAGAAGGGGAGGACAGCCTTGCCTGTTAGGGCCAAGAGGTGGTGTAGGGTTGGCCAGTGTGAACACAAGGCCCCTGGAAAAGCTTTCACTCAGTGGGCCGCCCTCCAGACAGCCCCTTAGCATTCAGCGGTACCACACTTTTCTTAGCCGACTTTCTCATTCATAAGCTTTCATTACCTGACTCACTTCTGCCTCAAGTTCTGGTTTGCTGGGGCTTCCCAGGTGGTGCCAGTGGTAAAGAATCAGCATTGTCAATGCAGGAGATGCAAGACACATGGGTTCAATCCCTGAGTCGGGATAGATCCCCTGGAGTAGGAAATGGCAACCAACTCCAGGATTCTTACCTGGAAAATTCCACGGACAGTGCGGGAGGCAACACAACTGAGCAACATACGCACGCCTGGTTTTTTGGGTATTTTCTGCGTCTCCAGGTGGACAAGAGGTGTCCCTCAATGTGAATCTCTGCCCCCTACCTGTGATGGTCAGTGACCAGCTGGGGCCTCTCCACCCAGGCCCCTCAGCTTCCTTGCCCGTTCAAGAGGTGCAAAGCTTCCTGGCATTCCTGGGCTACCCTGTGATGTTAAAATACAATAAAAAATAGAGGGCCTTCTTTGGTAGTCCAGTGGCTAAGACTCCTCACTCCCAATGGGAAAGAAAGTGTTAGTCACTCAGTCAACTTTTTGTGACCCCATGGACTGTAGCCTGGCCAGGCTTCTCTGTTCATGGGATTCTCCAGGCAAGAATACTGGAGTGGGTTGCCATGCTCTCCTCCAGGGGATCTTCCTAACCCAGGGACTGAACCCCGTATCCTGCACTCAGGAGGCAGATTCTTTACCACTGAGCCATCATCCCTGGTCAATGAACTAGATCTCACATGCCACAACTAAAAAGCGTGCATGCTTCAATGAAAATCAAAGATCCCCTGTGTGGCAACAAACACCCAGACACAGAGCAGTCAAAGAAACTTAAAAAAAAAAAAAGAAAGAAATGGATATTTGGTCTTCATCCTGATTTCGGAATAGAACTCTTAAAACTCTGGGATTTCCTGAAGGAAAGGGTGAGAGGAGCATCTGTTATGCATAACAAGCCCCTTTCAATCTCACCTGGGTTCACACCGGACAGGTGACAAGTCAGGAGGAGTGGGGGGCAGGCGGTTTCCAGGGGAAACTTCAGTCCTGCTCCTGACCTCTGACCTCCTGGGATGGGGGCTGGAGACGCAGCTAATCTCCAATGGTTCAGGATTAACTAGTCCTGCCCATGTGATGGACCTCCACTCAAGCCCCAAACGGAGGGAGTCAGGGAGCTTCCAGTCAGTGAACGTGGAGGGCTGGGAGGGTGGCTCCTGGGGAGAGTGTGGGGCTCCGCACCACTTCCCACACCTTCCCTGGGCATCTCCTGCATTTGTTCCCAAGTTGTGTCCTTTGTGGTAAACCAATAAGGTAAGCAAAATGCTCCCCTGAGTTCTGTGAGTCATTCTGGCAAGTTACAGGACCCCAATTTACAGCTGGTTAGTCACAAATCCACCTGTAATGCAGGAGCTGCAGGAGACACTGGTTTGATCCCTGGGTCAGGAAGATCCCCTGGAAAAGGGGATGGCAACCCACTCCAGTATTCTTACCTGCTGTGTTGTGGGACTGAGCCCTGAGCCTATGGATCTGTGTGAACACTGGGTGGCTGGAGTTAGAATCCACTTAGATTGTAGGATACCCAGTTGGGGTCCAAAGAGAACTAGAGGATTGCTTAGTAAGAAAAGCCCAAACTCTTTGTCAGAGGTGTGTCCTGTAGGAGGGAGGGAGCCTTCATGTTGTATGTGCTGCCCACATGCCCAGCAACGTCTTCCATTTAACAGTCCTTGACCTCAAGTTGCTCTCTGCCTGCCTTTCATCCCTCTGGGCTGGATTCTGTGTGAACTGACACCTGCCCTCCCTTCAAACTCATCAGGCTCAGAGCCTGGGGCAGAGGCAGAAGCAGTGGACAGAGCAGAGCAATGGGCTTCACTGCAGTATGAGCACGCATGCGTGTGTGAATGCTTGCATGGGAGCACCTGGGAGCTGTGTGAACGTGTGTGGGCACACACTTTCCATAAAGTCCCCGATGTATGTCAGACTCTGAAGCCCCCCAAGAGATGCTGAACATCAGACCCCTGGAAGCGTCCCATGCCTGGGCCTGCACTCAGTGCTCCCTCCTGAGGTTGTGTCCTGAGGGTTACCGTTGGAGCCAAAAGGGCCCTCTCGGCTACTCCTGCTGCCTCATGATGTCCAGAGCCAACAGCGGCGTCCACTGTCCTTCCTGGGGTCCAGGCCCAGGTGCCCACCACCTGCTGAGCTCCCTCCCGAGCCCTGCAGTGTGTACCCCGGGTGCTCACCCACTACTGATTCTCTCAGTATATTGATTTTCCAGAGCTACAGTGACAAATTACTCCAAAGTGTGGTGGCTCCAAACAACAGTTTCCTTTCTCACAGTTCTGCAGGCCAGAAGTCCAGAATAAAGATGTCGGCTCCCCATCGGCCCTACCGGAAGCTCTTTTGTCAGCACAGCTTCCTGCTCCTCTGTGGCTCCAGGCACTCCCGGGCTTGTGGCCGCCTCTCTGCCATCTCTCCTCTGGGTCTCTCTGTGTCCTAATACCCCTCTCCTTTTTATCTTTATTTAAATTTTTTTTTCTTTTTTAAGTTATAAAAGTATGATAACACATTTACAGGATACTTGGAAAATATAAAGTTCCACTATACATGACAATTATTTTCTTAAGTAGATAAAGTAAGATTTTTAGTTGGAGTTTCAATATCAAACTCTTAGAAATTAGTAGAATTTAAAAAATTAATAGGATGAATAGACACGTAGAAGGATAGAGTAGACCTGAAAAGCACTATGAACCAATTTGACATAATTAGGACTTATACAATTTTCACACAATGGGAGGATACGACTCTCTCCTTTCCCAAGGACAGGCTTCACTGGATTTTAGGGCCCTCTCTAATCTGGGATGACCTTATCTCAAATCCCTTGCATTAACTATATCTGCAAAGACCATTATTTTAAAGAAGGTCATTTTCTGAGGTTCCAGGTGGTGTTTCTTTGAGGGGCCACTGTTCAACTCACTGTACTTGGGTGTGGGAATGGGCAAGCCCTAGGAATTCCCTGGCAGTCCAGTGGCTAGGACTCCGTGCTCTCACTCCCAGAACCGGGGCTCAATCTCCGATCAAGAAACTAAGATCCTGCAAGCTGCAGCCAAACAAACAAAAAGGGATGGGCAATCCCTGGACACTTGGTGGCAGGTACAGGAGCACCTGCCAGAGCTTTTCCTGGGGCCACTGACCACGCTTTGTTGGCAGAAGCCCATCCTCCAGTCTGGGTTGGTGAGGGCATGAACTTCAGATCTGCAAAGTGACTGAGGATGGCTGAAAACTTAAACTTTCTCCTCTAATACGAAATTTCAGTATCATATTTAGAGCCTTTTAGAAGAGAAAGTCTAGAGCAGGAACTGGCAACCCACTGCAATATGCTTGCCTGGAGAATTTCATGGACAGAGGGGCCTGGCAGGCTATAGTCCATGGGGTCACAAAGAGTTGGACACGACTGAGCAACTAACACACGCAGAAGAGAAGGGCTTCCCCAGTAGCTCAGCGGTAGAGAATCTGCCTGCCAATGCAGGAGACGCGGGTTTTATCTCTGGGTTGGGAAGAACCCCTGGAGGAGGGCATGGCATCCCACTCTAGTATTCTTGCCTGGAGAATCCCAGAGACAGAGGAGCCTGGTGGGCTACAGTCCATGGGGTTGCAAAGAATCACACAACTGAGTGACTAAACTACAGCAAAGAACAGAAAAGCCCTAATGTCTTCATTAGGGTTAACTGTAGTCAGTAAGGTAAAGGTCCCTCCTTGTTACGACGCCCATGTTCTCTGTGTGGCTCCAGGCGTTTCTGGGCTTGTGGCTGGCTGCTGGGTGAGGCTCCTGCTTCCTATTCAGCTGCCTGTGACTGACTCTGGGCTGGGTTCCCAGCCTCTCTGACAGTAGGGAATGTTTGCCGGCTGCAAGACGCTGTCTCTGGGGGCTTAGCAGGTTGCTCACTGTCATGGACAGTGTAGTCCAGGCAAGGTCAGACTGGCCAGGCTTCCTACCCCAACTGGAGAACCGACCTGAGCTCTTGGTCGCAGACCGACTAGACCCCGACCTCTCCCGGCTCAGGCTGGGCCCTCCCCGTGCCTCCTGGCTCTGTCCCCAAGTCAGGGTGGGTCAGGTGCTCAGGCTGAGTTCTGGCAGCAGGGAGTCTGGGAAGGCCCCTGGGTGGCTGTGGGGGTTGGGAGATAGGCCCTGCCCTCCTGCACACAGGTGTCAGGGCTGTGCTGCCTGCCCCCTGCAACCTGGCCTTCTTTCCCCCTGGCTGCCTGCTCCCCCAACTCAGTGTCTTTGGGGGCCCTCTGGGTTCCTTCACCCCCCTGCCCCCAGCCTGTCCTGCACCCCCTCCCCTCTCACTTGGCAGGACCATTCCTCTTCTGTGGCTTTCCCGTGGAGTCTTTCTAAGGGCTCTGGACCCAACCTTTGACCTCAGACAAGGGCCAGGGGCAGGGCTGGGACATTAGGGTATAGCAGCCTTGCCCACCATCAAGGCCAAGCCTGCCTGCCCATCAATAGGGTCCTCTCCACGCTGGCCTGAGGGGGTGTCCATGAGAGGAGGAGCGCTCAGCTCCGTGTCAGCCCAGGGCCTGTCTCCTCCTGCCCAGGGCATTTGCCTTCTGGAAGAGACCCTCCCCACCCCTAGGCCCCTCACCCTTCAAAGTCTCCCCAGCGTGGGTTGGCATTGTGTTCGAGGCCACCGAACAGGCCAGGGCCGCCAGCACAGATGACGCAGGACCATGCTGGCCTTGACACAGCTGGGGGGAGGGGCGGGAGATGGGCCCCAGGGATGGAAAGGGGGCCCAGCGTGGCTAAGCGTGGGGGCTGTGCTCATGCCCTGGGCATGCTCTCCCCTCTCCTCTGGTTCCTCCTGAGGCACTGAAGTATGTCTTGCGTTCAGACCCCAGTGCCTGGGGGGTGGAGGAGTAAGTGCTCTTTCTCCCGCGCGGGATGACAGGCAAGCTGGGCTCCTTCACTTGCCTTCTGCACCCCCCAGCACCCAGGGTGCTCCTCCCTGAGAGCCTCCCTCCCGCCTCCCTGGGGTCTGCAGGAGCACACGTGGCAGACGGTACCCTGCTCCTGTCCCGTGGGGTGAAATGGAGATCCCCAGGGTGCCATGTCTCTGCCCAAACCCGGGAGCCGACCCGTTGTTCTCATCTTTGACCCCCCTCAGTCGCGTGTGAGTGAACAGCAGTGGCCCAAGCCGGCCCAGGCACCTTGGCGGAGGGTCTCCGACGTGCGGTGCGTGGGGACACCCTTGCTTCCAGGGTACACACAGATCTTTCCCAGCGCCTGTCAACGCCTCGGCTCCTGGGACACCACCGCCGACCCCACGAGGGCCTGAGCCAGAGCCTCGCCACGTCTGGGTGCCCGTGCCGCGCCCCCCCGCGCCTCCTCCAGTGGCGGACGGCGGCCCGGGCCCTGCGAAACTTGCTTAAACTCCGCCCTCAGACCTCTCCGGAGGTCCCGCCGGTTTCCCCAAGGCTTGAGCACCACCCCTGCCGCGAGCCTCGGCGCGGGCCCTTTAAGGTCCGGGGGTGTGCGGCGGGCCCGCCCCCTCCCCGCGGCGCCGGCCGCCTGTTAAAGGGGCCGCACCCGCGGCGCCAGCCGAGTGCCAGCCGGGCGGAGGGCGCGAGATCTGGCCGCGGGCCGGCGGGCGGGGAGGGCGCGGAAGGCGCGGGCGCGCTGCGGCCCCTCCGCACCATGTACACCATCACCAAGGGACCCAGCAAGCTGGTCGCGCAGCGGCGCACAGGTGCGCGGCAGGGGCGGGCAAGGCAGGGAGGGGGCGGACGGGGGTCCGCACATGCTGCCCGCCCCCGGCGCGGCGCCGGCTGCTGACGCGCGCTCCCGGTGCCCGCAGGTCCGACGCAGCAGCAGGTGGAGAGCAGGCTCGGCGAGCTCCTGAAATGCCGGCATTCCGCGCCGATCCCGCAGCACCCACGGGCACAGCCGCCGGGCCCCTGGCCCCTGTCGAGGTGAGACGCGCGGCCCTCCCCTCCCCCGCCGGCCGCCTCGGGGCCGCGAGGGTGACCTTGGGGAAAGGTTAGCGGAGCCAGGGCCACATGCTCCCGGCGGGCGCGGAGGGGGCGGAGCCCGCGGACCCGGCCCGCCTGCGGTTCGCAACCGCGACTCCGCGCTTCCGCCTCACCTGGCACCTGGCTGGGTCGGAGGGGATTGGGCTGGGGGTGCGTGACACACCTCCGAGCCCTGGGGCCCCATGCACCCAGCGTCGGGAGGAAGCCGACCGGCTTCTGGATTTTAGGGGCTCCAGGCGGCTGAGTCAGGTGCCCGGGCCGACCTTGGGCGGCGAAGGCCAAGCTTTGAAAGAAGCTGCCGCGGACTCGCCCCGGAGGGCGGGAGCGGCCGCCGTCGGAGGCTGCCAGCCCCGAGCTGGCCGAGCAGCGGGGGAGAGGTGCACGTGGTTCCCTTGGGCCCTGCCAGGCCGCTGCTCTCCTCCGCCTTCTCCCCGAGCCCCCGCCGGCGCTTTTCTGCCTTTCCTGACCAGCAGTTTTGCTGGGAGCCTCAGTTCAACCACTGTGGCCTCCAAGTCACTGTGCCCAGGAGGTCAGAGCCTCCACCTCCGGGACTGAACCTGTAACTTTTTGGCTCGGGTCCTGTCTCTGGTCTTACTTATTCTCTGCAGGCTCAGGGCCCAGGGCTTGGTCCAGGCCACACAGGCCTGAGGCTCCTGTGGACTGTGGGTGGGTGGGGGCAGCACTGACAAGCCTTGGGATTTCTTCTCTAGTTGAGGATAGACGACCTCCGGGTTGGTAAGAGCTGGGGGCTGTGTTGCTGCGCGCCCTCAACCTGCCCTCCCCCTCAGTACGGGCCTGAGATGCCACAGGTAGGGGCAGCCCGTGAGACCCGTGTAGGCTGAGGCCCTTTCCTGGTGGCCTACTGCTGGGAGCACGCTGACACTCTGAGGCTGGTCTTGTGAGGACCACAAGCGCCTCCTGGGGAGAGGGGTGCCTGCGGCTGTGGGGGGCGTGTCCCGGGCCCACTGTGCTGTGACCCTGCCTTGTGACATCAGTCTGGTCTTCAGCCGCCCTGCCTCCCAGGGAGGGAAACGAGGCACAGGTGTGTTGGCCCCAGGCCCAGTCACCCAGGCAGGAAGCCCCCACTGTCTTACCTGGAGAAGCTTGTGCTTTCTCCATGCACCTTTGCCGGGGAGTGGGGGAGGAAGCATGCGGTGTGTGCAGGGTCCGGGTCCTGGGAGAGATGGAAGAGACAAAGGGCTGCAGCCAGCCAGGTCCCGGTCGGGGGTGCTGGTGCTCGGCCCCCGCCTCTGCAGTCCCGTCTGGCAGGGGGTCAGCAGGAAGGCAGATTGTGCTGGTCGTGCCGTCCCCCCTTCCCTCTGAAGTCACTCCTTCCCTGAGCCAATCCCCTCCCAGCCTCAGGGGCGAGCCCCCACTGGGAGGCCAGAGCACCTACAGGTCTCCCACACAGGAACCCCCAGCCTTGCTCCTGAAACTTCTGGGGGGGGAGCCCATCAAAATCACACCACCCAGACTTCCGGTCCACCCCTCCTCAGCCTGGCTTGCCGGGGAAGGAGGCGTCTGAGCCACTGGAGGTGCTCTGTGCCTGGAGCACCACGGGTGCCCTAGGCGTCTGCCCCTGACTGGGCTTGGGTCTAGGCGCTGCCCATGGTGGTGAACAGGCTGTGTGAGTCTGGGCCTCTTGATGAGCTCTCTCCCTCTGAGCCAGAGAGAGTAAGACTTGCTTTCAGGGAGAAGAGCACATGGAACCCTGTGACCAGCTGATGGTGCAGGGGGTGCAGGCTGATGGGGGAGGCGACTTGGGAGCTGCACTGCCTCATGGGCTTCGGGCTCAGACACGCATACAGTTCTGATGCTGCCGTCCACTCACCATGTGTGACCCTGGACAAGTCACTTCTCTCTTGAGTCTGGACTGAAAATAGGTGTGTGGTCTACGTTGGAGGATAGTGAAGGGGATGAAGAGGAGGCCCTAGTTGGCAGGCCCTGAGCAGGGAGTCCAGAGCCGCTGCTGCCGTGGGCGGGGCCTGCCAGTGGACCGTGACCCTGGGCGCTGGCACGAGGGTGGAGGTGGGGGTGGCACCAGACTCGACCATAGGCACACCAAAGGGAGCAGTGCCCTTTCTTCCAGAGGGCCCATGGAGCCGCCTTACGTAACTGCCAGCAGGGGGCGGGCAGGTGCCAGCCTGAGCCCCTTCTCAGCCCCAGCCAGGCCACCCTCTGGTAGTTGAGTCACTAAGTCGTGTCTGACTCTTGTGGCCCCATGGACTGGGCTCTCCAGGCAAGGATACTGGAGTGGGTTGCCATTTCCTTCTCCAGGGGATCCTCCTCCAGGAATTGAATCTGGGTCTCCTGCATTGCAGGTGGATTCTTTACCACTGAACCACCAGGGAAACCACCCTCTAAGTACTTGGCAGTTTGTAGCCTTTGACTGCAATTCTTTTTTTCCTTCTTGGATGCTTAGTCTCCAACTTTCCTGGTGTTTGTGGCCTTGCAGGGGTAAGGTTAGCAGGCAGGCAAGGGGCTGTCCCACTTGAGGACAGACATCCACGCCCACTGGTTGGTATCGCTCAAGCCTGGAAGCAGCCCTGCCCCTCCACGTTCTTTGTGGCCACCCGACCTGCCAGCCTGGAGCTGGTGGGACTGGTGCCCCTCAGGATGCTCCTCTTTATTTTAGTGCCCCTCTCAGCTGAGGAGGAACCCCGCGCGGCGGTGGGGCACCTGAGCCCAGGATGGCGAGCAGGCCGGCGGGACCGCGAGTGCCTGGCGGAGTGGCACGTGCAGCCCAGGACTCCCGGCTCCCACCTCCTGCTGTAGGTGTGGGCCCCGCTCCCTCCACGGCCCTGTCCGGGGCTTCATGTGTGCAGGGCTGGGCCAGCTGCCTCCGGCCAGGGCAGACCACCCATGCCCTGGGCCCAGCTGGCCGGGGTGGGCCCAGTGGCCACTTGGACATTGAATGCCCACCAGGCCAGGTTCCAGCACCCAGGGCCATCTCCGTACTCAGCATTCCTGCCCTGTGGGCAAGAGCACAGTCCTTGCCTGGAAGCTGCAGGGGTGGACCAGGGCCACAGTCGCCCTCCCCACTCAAGATGGCCCACTCAGCACTTGGCACTGTCTAGCCAGACCAGGCGCTGTCTCTGGGGCCGGGGCAGCTGCAAAGGGCCAAGTCCACCTGCTCTCCTTCGGGTCCTTCCTTCCATCCTGGGGCATCTTGAGATGAAGAGGCTTCTGTGGGGGAGAAAGTGACCAAGAACTATGCCTGGGGGCGGGGTGGGGGCGGGGTATGGCCGCAAAACCTGTTCACTCACGTCAGAACCTGGGCTGCTGGAGGCCTGGCCCGTCAGTGGGGAGGTGGGAGGCAAGTGGCAGTGGAGGTTCCTGAGAGACCCATGGGGGGCCGTCTGTGTGCCTTGAGCATGGGGCTCTGCGGGGATCTGGGGACATAGAGCCCCTCTGCAGCCTTAGACCTGCCTCAGGGCCAGGGCCTGCAGGTGTGAGCTGAGCTGTTGGGTGTAGGTCTGCAGGAGAAAGGCCTCGGCCACTGGCTGCAGCCCACAGCTGCCCTGTGGTTCAGGGACGTGCCCCGACTGGGCCTGGCCTGTGGGGCAGGGTGGCCTGCGGCTGCTCCAGGAGCTCTGCCAGGTAGCACCTGGCCTGGGAACGTGGCTGAGTGTCTCCTCGCCTTCCCACAGTCCAGGGCCGAGGCTCGTGTTCAATCGGGTGAATGGCCGCCGGCCGCCTGCCACGTCCCCATCCTTCGAGGGAACCCAGGAGCCCTACACACTGGCCCACGAGGAGAACGTCCGATTTGTGTCAGAAGGTAGCGCTGAGGCCCGAGGGAATGGCCCAGGCCACTGGTCCCCTTCCCACTGTAACCTGAACTTGAAGTCGCTGGAGGGCTGGGACGTACCTGGGCTCTGGGCCCGTCTATCCTGTGACTGTCCAGCAGGCCGCCTGTTCCCGTTCCCAGCTCTGGGCAGGGGTCCAGGCTAGCCACTGGTGTGGGAAGGTGCCAGGGGCCTGGCTCAGTCTGACTGTCCTCTCCCCACAGCCTGGCAGCAAGTGGAGCAGCAGCTGGGTGGTGGCCCGGCCGGTGAGAGCGGGCCAAGGCCTGTGCAGTATGTGGAGAGGACCCCCAACCCCCGGCTGCAGAGTGAGCCCTCCCCCACCCGCAAGGAGCAACCCCCCCTCCACTCCTGACCTGGCTCAGCCAGGTTCTAGCCCCAAGGGGGTGGGGCGAGGAATGGAACCTGATCCACTCTTCCCAGTGTCTGCTACAGCTGGGATCTGGGTGAGGGGCTTGTGGCCAGCTGGAGGGGGGATGCACGCTGGTCCGCCGGGAAGGTGTGTCACTGCCCAGCCTTCTGTTTCTCCACAGACTTCGTGCCCATCGACCTGGACGAGTGGTGGGCACAGCAGTTCCTGGCCAGGATCACCAACTGCTCCTAGTTGCAGCTTTGGAAGGAAGGCTGTCTTGTGCAGGGCCTGGCCCTGCCCCACGCTGGACCCTCTGCCAGGAGAGGACCACGGCGCCCTGTCTACCCGCTGAGGCAGGCCGTGCTTCACTCTGGGCCTGGCCAGGCGCCGGCCACACCTGAAGTGCCAGCATTTGGACTTTTGCCCCTGCTGATCCCTTGGCCCAGCTGTTCCAGGCTGCCGGGGGCCAGGGGTTGAAACTGTCTGACCTCAGTCCTGCTCACTGTGCCCGGGGACCAGCCCGTGGGGCTGGCAGAGAGGAGCTCCAGGCTAATAAAGTTGAGAAACTGCCTTTTGGAGAGGCCCTGACTCGGTGGGCTGTGGGGAGTGGGCGGGGGAGAGGTGCTCGTGTCCGGGCCCTAGGCCCGGCACGACTTGTTCTGCAGCCTCCTTTCCCCACAGCTGAAGCTCTGTCCAACTCTGGCACCTAGCCTCCTGCCCAGCTGCCTTCCTGTGTCTTGGGCCAGGTCATTTGGCATAGAAGTCTGTAAATGCCAGCTGACCCCCCACTGACACCCATGCCCCCTTCCTCTCCCTGTAATCATTGTCGGGTGTCGAAACCTGCTCTCAAGATCCAGAAATGTTACTTAACTGACCCTGAGATGGGGTCCCAGCCACCCAGAATTGGGGTCAGGTTTCAGGACGCCTGCTGTCGTATCTGAACCCCCAGGTCTGGCGGGGAGCCTTCGGGGTCCTGTGGGGCCGGCCGCTGACATAAGTGTCTCCAGAAGGCTGGGCAGCAGCAGGGGAGGGGAGGACCGCCCCCCGCCAAGTGCGGTCAGGATTTCTGGGCTGCGTGTCACTCCCATCGCGAACATAGGACTCGGCGTCACGAACCTCCCTGATCAGACCTCACAGCGGGGGTGCCGGGGGTGCTAGGGCATGCCCACGGGGTCCCGGCCTGGGGATGGCCGCAGAGGCCCGGGGGCGGAGGGTCCTGCCCCGTGGCAAGACAGCAGTAGAGAAGTGGCTGCACATCAACCCGGGGCGACCAGAGGAGAGGTAGCCGGGCCCACTGGGGTCTGGCCCCGCCCTGCGCCGCGGTCACGTGTCAGGCGCGGTGACGTACATGCCGCCGTGCAGCGTCAGTGGCGCCGTTGCCAGGCTTCTGTTGCTAGGCACGCGTTGCGTGCCCTGCGTGCGGTGCGCGTCGGCAGAAGCGGGAAGTGCGAGTTGAGGCGTCATGGCGCGAGGTAGCGGCGCGCGGACATGGGCCCGGGGCGGGGGTCTGGGGTCCAAGGCCCGGCGCCGCCGCGCACGGGTTGGTGCTGAGACTCGGTCGCAGCCCAGTCCGCGCGCCGCGCTGACCGTCACCGCTGGGGAGCGCGCAGGCCCTGCCGGGCCCTCCCTGGACCTGCGATAGGCCTGGCACCTCATGTCCCGTTGTCCCCCAGTGTGGCAGCAGCCGTTCCTCAACGTCTTCAGACACTTCAAGGTGGACGAGTGGAAGCGCTCCACTAAGGAGGGCGACGTGGCCGCCGTGACGGTGAGTGACCGGGGCGCCCGGCAGCGGGAGCGGCGGCCTCTCCTCTCTTCTCCCTGGACGTTTGTTTGCAGCCCTCCTGGCCTCCCCGGGCTGCAGGACGTCTGCAAGACGTCTCTCTCTCCAGGACAAGACTCTCAAGTGCACCGTGTACCGCGTGCGGGGCTCTGTCTCTGCGAGCAACTACATCCAGCTCCCCAAAACCAGCACCCAGTCCCTGGGGCTGAACGGACGGTACCTGTACGTGCTCTTTCGGCCACTGCCTGCCAAGCATTTCGTCATTCACCTGGATGTGTCCACTGAGGTGCCGACCTGAGAGGCGGAGGCTGCCCGGGGCCTGCCCCGCACTTCTGCAGCAGCCTTGACCCCTCATGTCCACGCTGTGTCCCACAGGACAGCCAGGTCATCCGAGTTTCCTTCTCCAACCTCTTCAAGGAGTTCAAGTCCACAGCTACGTGGCTTCAGTTCCCTTTCATTTGTGAGGCTGGGACACCCAGGGAAGGTAACGTGCAGATGAGGCATGAATGGGACAAGGGGATGGTCTGGGAGAGGCGTCCAGTCAGAAGGCTCAGGGGGAGGTCTGGGGGGGGGTCACGTGGTTGTGGCCGTGAGACTGGGAACAGGCCGAGGACACAGTGCTGTGGCCGGTGCTGACCTTGGCATGAGTCCTGCACACCTGCCAGGTGTGGCCTTCCCTGGTGCCCGCTGGACCTGCCTGCAGCTTGACCTGCACGACATCCTGCTGGTCTACCTGCATCGATGCTACAGTCATCTGAAGGGCGTCAGGCTGTGTGCCAGCATGCTGGTCCGGAGCCTCTACACCAGTGACCTGAGCTTCGACCCTGGTGAGGGCCACAGCTGTGTTAGCCTGCAGCCCACCTGCTTTTGCTCCCTGGGTGCCACCCTCCGCTCCATCCCTGGCACTCCATGAAAATGCCCATGCTGTGCCAGTTTGAGCCTCCCAGCTCCCGAGGCAGCTGTCAGAAGGAGTGGTGGCTGGGCTGGTGACCAGGCGGGACCCTGCTAGCCGCTGGTGTTGAGACCCCTGGACTGGGAGAAGGGCCTGGACGGTTCCCTGGACCTGGACCAACTCTGCTCTTTGCAGCCATCACTGTTGCTGAAGCCCGACGCGCAAAACTGCCTGTCACCCCCATACCTCGAGAAATGGCTTTCCCGGTGCCAAAGGGGGAGAGCTGGCACGATCGCTACGTCCACATCCGGTGAGTGCCTCTGCCGTCCCAGGCGCAGGGAGGGCAGGGCTGTCCCAGAAGCTGACTCTCCCTCTACCCTGCCGAGGTTTCCGAGCGGCAGCTCGCACGCGCCCTCCGAGCTGGTGCAGAAGAGCGGTTTCCCTCCTGAGGCAGGTGGGCCTGTGGGGCAGAGGTGACCGGGTTCAGGTCTGCAGAGCCCATGGTGCTCAGCAGGAGAGGGGGCCTGATGCTGCATCTGGGGAGGTGACCCCACCAGTGTGGTGCCTGCAAGGGCGCGGGGAGGCAGCCCTGGAGCAGCGGTAGATTGTGACTTGAGTGCTTGGGGCTTCAAACTTTCCTGCTGGGATGGGTGTTGGGGCCCCTGCTAGGGCGGACTGCCGCTGTCAGCCTGGCTCCTCTCCTGCAGAGTGGGCAAGGCCGGGCCCCCTGCTGCCCCGCCCAGTGCCTTGTGCCTGTCTGTACTCTGCTCAGTCGGTTCTTCTCCATTGTGGTCTTAGCGGGGCATGTACCGCGGCTGCTCCCTTCCCCAGCAGCCTGCAGCAAACCTGCGCGGGACCCCAGGACCCTCGTGGTCCAGAAGCATGACCCCACAGCCGTGAGTGCCCGGTGCCCTCGGAGATGGGGCTGGGGGTGTTGGCCTCAGGCAGGGTGCTCATGGGCACTTGTCCTCCTGCAGTCCCGCTGGGCCCCTGCCATGCCCAGGCCCCTTCCGGAGGTCCGCGTGTCCTGTGAGCGCTCAGAGGTCTCCAGTGTGGCTGGCCCTGGTGACTGTAGCCAGGAGCCCTCGGCCTGGGTGGAGACCACTGACGAGCATGCAGCCAGTGACGGCCTTCACGTGTTTGCCCATCAGGCAACGGAGCCCATGGCCCCAGAGGATGCAGCTCCAAATGAGGTGCGTGCCTTTCCCGAGGAAGGTGGGGCTGGACTGCGCCCCCAAGGGAGTCATGTGGGGACGAGCAGTGGATGGAGGGCTGCTGGGATGCTGCCCGCGGGGAACGGGCAAGGGGTGGGTGGTCCCCTCTGACGGTCCCTTCCCATCCAGCCTCCTGGCAGGAAGCAGAACTTACCGGAGGCAGCTTTGGGCAAGAAGCGTTTTCAAGAAGGAGTAAGAGAGTCGGTGCCCAGCCCCAGTGGTCTGCAGGGGGACCTCAGGAATGGGGCACCTGGAGGGTCCAGCACGGTGACTGCAGTTCTGGCTTCCTGCCGCAGAGTGGCTGGCAGGAGCTCAGGACTGGGTGACTTTCTTGGGAGGCTGGAACTGGCTCTGGGTGGGGCAGCCCTGCTGCAACAGGGACCTTGCCACCTGGCTCTCACTGTGCGTCTACCTGTTTCAGAGCTTCCTCCCAGATCCGATCCTGAGGCTCAAGGGGGTCATCGGCTTTGGGGGTCATAGCACCAAATGGGTGAGGAGTTCTGTGCTCTTGTTGGGTCCTACAAGAATCAGCTACACCAAGCAGACAGCAGGCAGACGCCGCGTTTCCCTGCCTTGGCTGCGTGAACCTCTGAGCTCCCCTAGGCACTGGGTCCCTGCACTGCTGTGGTTACCCAGCCCCGCCCGCATCCACACACACCTGGTACCTCTTTGGTGCTTTGATGTCCAGACACAGGCGGCCCTTTGTGTTGTGAGCACCAGCCAGGGCGGTGCTGGTCCAGATGCTCGAGCTTTGAGAAAGCTGAGACCCTTGTTCATCCTTTAAGTCTTGGATGCATGTCGTCCAACCGAGTGGGCCTTGGTGTGGACAAGACAGGGTCCCTGTGGAGGCAGCCGCGGGAGAGGTGGCTGTGTGCTCACCAGGCTGTCCTGGCTGTGGGCTCTGAGTCTTTGTGGGCTCTCGTGCTCTTGTTAGTTGAACCCCATGGTTTCTTGCTTAGCGGGAGCCCTGCCGTGCCCACATGTGACTGGGCTTTTTCTGCCCTTTTGGCTCAAGCAACGCGGTGACTCCTGTGCTTATGCCTCGGGAGGCTCACGGGTGGTGGGGAGTGAAGCTGACAAGCCTGTGACCTCAGCCTCTGGCCCCTGCTTGCAGGCCCTGTGGACCCCGGATGGGGCTGCTGTTGTGTACCCTTGCCACGCGATCATCGTCGTCCTGCATGTCGAAACCCGGGAGCAGCGTCTCTTCCTTGGCCATACAGAGAAGGTGGGCAGCCCTGGCCTGGGGCAGCCTGGTCTGCTGGCCCATACCCTCCCTAACTCCCTGCCCCCAGGTCTCTGCTCTGGCGCTGGACGGGAGCGGCTCGCTGCTGGCCTCTGCCCAGGCCTGGCCCCACAGCATGCTGCGTCTCTGGGACTTCCAGACAGGGAGCTGCCTGGCCCTCTTCCGGAGCCCGGTCCACACCATCTGTTCCCTCCGGTGGGTGCAGGGCCTCCGGGGGGGGGGTGGGGGCCAGCCCCTGTGACGCTGACTGTCGCCTCTGTCCACAGCTTCTCCAACAGCGGGGAGCTGCTCTTCGGCGTCGGCAAGGACCGCCATGGGCGGACGGTAACTGGGCTGGCGGGGAGGCGGGGCAGCCGTCCCAGGGTACAGGCAGGCGGCAGGGACCCCCGTTGGCCTACCCCATCCTGGCCGGGCACCCCCACGTCACACACTTCGCAGGGCATCTGTCTCACCCTTGTGGATGGAGCTGTCTTTTGAGTGACTAGTCTTGTTCTCTTTGCTGGCGAGTTCTGCAGGCCTGAGATGGATGTTTTTTCACGCCAGTGTCTCTGAAGCTGGGTGTTCCCCCTGGGGCCTCCCCTCCACTTGTGGTTGCGTTTTCTGCTCCTCTCTGCAGACACACATCTGTGGACACCCTGGGTGGGCATGGCAGGTTCCTCTGGCTTCTGCTGGAGAGGCTGGGTGGGCGGGCGGGTGGGCACTCAGTGCAGGCTTGTTGCAGACGGTGCTGGTGTGGGGCATGGCCCAGCTGGGGAGAGGCGGAGAGGCTATCATCCTTGCGAAGGCGCACAGTGACGCTGATGTCCAGGCGTTCCAGGTGGCCTTCTTTGACGAAGCCAGGTGATCGCCCGCCCTCTCTGGGTGCTGGGGCCACTGAGTCGTGAGCCTGCCCCTCACCCCACTCACCTCCCACCCTTGCAGGATGGCGTCGTGCGGGCGGGGCAGTGTGCGGCTGTGGCGGCTCCGAGGTGGGGCGCTGCGCTCCTGCGCTGTGGACCTGGGGGAGCATCATGCGCTGGAGTTCACTGACCTGGCCTTTGGGCCAGCCCAGGATGGCCACACTCTGTAAGCACCCCACCCCCCGCCCTCTTCCCTGAAGGCCTGGCGCCCCGCCCGTGGTGCCCACAGCCCTCACCTGCTGCTCCCTGGCAGCTATGTGTGCAGCCGCAGCGGCCACATCCTGGAGATCGACCACCAGCGCATGGCCGTGAGGCATGCTCGCCGTCTCCTGCCCTTGCAGAACCCCTGTGACCCCCTCGCACAGAAGCAGACCTTCAGTTTGAGTAGGTGGGCCTTGCTGCGCAGGGGGAGGGGTCCTGCTGCTGGGGGCTGACCCGGCTCCCCCCACCCAGGCCCCGGCATCGCCATCAGCAGCCTCAGCGTCTCCCAGTCGGCGTGCGCTGTGGGCTCCGAGGATGGCTACCTGCGCCTCTGGCCGCTGGACTTCTCCTCCGTTCTCCTGGAGGCAGGTGGGGCCTGCACACCACCTTGCCCCAGGGTTGGCACAGGAGGGCCATGTCCCCAGGCTGGACAGCGTGGGGCTCCACAGGGCCGTGTCCTGAACCTGGGAGTGGGTGGTCACGGGGGCGGTGCTGGTCCTAGGTCACAGGGAGAGGGGGCTCCAGGCAGTAGGAAGATGCACTTCTTGCTGTTCTGGACAAGGGGCTAGGGGTTGGTACAGCCTGGCTGTGGTCAGCCTGCCCGGGTGGGCCCTGGTGCGGGACCTGCCCCACTGCAGGCCCGGCGGTCACCGAGCCCCCTGCCTGCAGAGCACGAGGGCCCCGTCACCTCCGTCCGCGTCAGCCCCGGCGGCCTGCGTGTGCTGTCCACCACCTCCTCGGGCCACCTGGGCTTCCTGGACGTCCCCTCGCAGGTGTACAGCGTGCTGGTGCGCTCGCACACCGCCCCGGTGCTGGCCCTTGCCACCGAACGCAGCCGGGGACAGCTGGCCACCGTGTCCCAGGACCACACTGTGCGCGTCTGGGGCCTGGCGACCCTGCAGCAGGTGGGGTGTGGCCAGAGGGGCGCCGGCTAGGAGGGCGGTCTGGAGGCTGCAGGCGGGCGGCCCGAGGTGCAAGCCCCCTGGGGAGACCGGCTCTCGGGGTCCTGCTGTCCACCCTCATGCGGCTCCCCCCTTCCCCCCCAGCTGTATGACTTCGCGTCGCCCGAGGAGGCCCCGTGTGCTGTTGCCTTCCACCCCACGCAGCCGACCTTCTTCTGTGGCTTCAGCAGCGGGGCTGTCCGCTCCTTTAGCCTGGAAGCCGCCGAGGTCCTGGTGGAACATAGGTGGGCGCCCAGGCGGGCCTGCCTCACAGACGCCCGCAGTGGACGCCGGGCTGGAGTGTGGGCTCTCTGGGAGAGCCCGCCCTCCGCTGCCCCTGGACACCCTGTGAGCGTCTGCACACCTTTCTGTGTGGGGCAGGTGTCACCGAGGAGCCATCACCGGCCTGGCCACCAGCCCCGACGGTCGCTTCCTGTTCAGCACCTGCTCCCGGGGCACCCTGGCCCAGTACCACAGTGGCGCGCCCCGGTGCCGCGTCCTGCGAGTGGCAGGTCAGGCCCCCACGCCCAGCCCTGCCTGGGCCTCCCAGTACCTCCCTGACTGTGGTGTTGTGGCCTGTAGCCTCACTCATAGACCCACGGGGCCAGGTGTGGTCTTAGGACTGCCCAGCACCGCGGAAGTGAGAGATCAGTGTGTGCCCGCCCTGCACCAGGAAGGGGTGATCGCCTGCAGCCTGAGCAACAGGGAGCAGGGCCGGCCTCCTCGGACACTGTGTCTCGGGCCGGCCAGGCGGTCTCTGGGTGGTCACTGGGAGAGTCCCAGTGCTCCGGCAGTGCACACTGCCGTGGGGCCCCGCCCTACTCAGCTGACTGCCCGCCTCTATGTGCTGGCAGCTAACGTGGTGTGCCAGGAGGCCTGCCCCAGCTCCAGCGTCCTGGTGGTCAGTGGGGACAGCCGCCTCCTGGCCTTCGTGGGTCCCTGCAAGTACACGGTGAGCGTTGTGGACGCAGCCTCGCTGGATGAGGTGAGTTAGCTGGAGCCCTGCATGTGTTTGCTGTGGGTGCCCGGGGTCTGTGGGCAACCCTGACCCTAATGGCTGGGTCATTCCTGTGGGCAGAAGGCCACACTCATTGCAGAGAGGACATGTGACCTGTGGGTGGCTGGGCAGGGCAGAGTGCCCACAGCTGCCCACCACCTGGGCCTCGGCTCTGGGGCTCCAGCTCCGCCTGGAGCTCATGGGGGCAATACTTACTCCCCCGCAGCTTCTGAGGGTTGACATCAGCACCCTGGACCTGGCTGGCAGCTGCCTGGACTCGCCTGTGGCCCTCTGCTTTGGCCCCTCACCCCCCGGCCACCTGCTGGTGTCCACCTCCTCAAACACGATCGCCGTGCTGGACGCCAGATCAGGCTGTGTGGTCCGGGAGGTGAGCTCAGGCCGAGGCTGGCGGCCTGGCCCCCTTCCTCCCAGTTCCGGCCTTGCAGCCCGCAGCACCCGCGGCGGGGCGGCCCTGGGCTGCCTGCTGCGCCCAGGTGGCAGCGCTCTGGGGAGGGCTCCCCCGGTCAGCGGTCCTGGGCGCACCCACGTTTCCTCGCAGCAAGTGTGCTCTCCCACAGCTGTCCTGTGGCCGCCCTGCGGCCTGCGCCTCCCTGGCCCTCAGCGCGGACGGGCGCTTTCTGCTCACAGCCGCTGAGCGGGCTGTCAGGCTGTGGGACTACGCGGTGCAGGCCGGCCCCAGCTGCCAGGTGTGTGTCCCGGGCGGGGGCGCAGCAGGGTGGAGGACAGCCCCCGGCGCTCTGGGCTGACCCCGCGCAAGGGCCATTCCTCAGGTCTGTGCGACACCACCGCCCCAGGTGTACATTGGCCACTCGGAGCCAGTGCGGGCCGTGGCCTTCACCCCCGACCAGCAGCAGCTCCTCAGCGTGGGAGATGCCATCTTCCTCTGGGACATTCTGGTTCCCCGTGAGGGGCGCTCCCCAGAAAGGCAAGTGTCTGCCTTCACTTGAACCTGCTAGGCCTCTCTGGGCCCCTGCCTCCCCCACACACACTGACAGCCTCTCTTGTTGCCTCTGCAGTGTCCAGGGTGCTCCCGGGGCCCCCCTGACCTGCGAAGCAGGTGAGTGGCCCCACCACGCTGGCAGGCCCTGTGGTGACCGCTGGTGTGGGAGGCACATGCTGATGCTGTGCTGGGGCCCCAGGGCAGAGCTGGTTGGGAGTCGGGGGCTGGCACACCTCCTGCTCTGCGCCCACGCCCCTCAGCTCTGAGCACAGCCTGGCTCCTCCGTCCGCAGGCCCAGATTCAGAACAGCTGGAGGGCATGGCATCCGGGGCCAGAGGGCCCCTCCAGCAGGTGTCCATGTCACCCCCGGCGCTCCTACCCCGGCCGGGCCTCTGTGCTGGGCCCCCTGAAGGCTTTGACGGTGAGGGCAGCGATCCTGGGAGGGGGAGGCTCCCCCTGCATGCTCTGCTGCTCCTGGCCTGGGGGCGGGCTGGAGGCTCCGGGCACCTGCTCCCCCACCACTGCTGTCTCCCCAACCTCCCCAGGCGCCCTCTTCCTATCAGACGAGAGCCGTGGCCCCGAGGATCCCCATCAGGCCTCAGGCCTGTCTGTGATGGTCCAGAAGGAGGCCGGCCGGGCTGGCGAAGGGGCCTGCAGGGTGACAGGAAGCCCCCGGGACTTGGGCAGGCGCCCCCACCCCTGTGGCTGGCCCAGTAAGCAGGCGGTGCAGCAGAGTGGGGCAGGGTCTCGCATCTGGGCTGGGGCCCAGGTGGATTCCAGGTGGTCTAAGGACAAAGCCAGTTGCCCCAGCAAAGGGGGGTCACCTGCAGGGCAGATAGCCTGAGGCCCCGGTCAAGCCAGGTGGGCAGGGCGATGTAGCCTGTCCGTGCCCTCTGACTCCAAGCCTCTGACTAGCCAGGACAGGGCGACAGCGGGGAGGTTGCCATGTGGTCCCGGGGGTCCACAGCCTCTCACCCTGCCTGACAGGTGCCTGCAGCACAGGGGGAGCCAGGGCCCGGCCCCCCGCTCACCCGAACTCCTACCGGCACTTCACTGCGCGCTACAAGGCCTCCTCGCCGGCCCAGGTGGGTGGGGTGGGGGTCCTCCTGGTCCCGGCCACTGGTGGATGCTGTGGAGGCCAGGCTCAGGCAGCGCGGCCTGTGGTGTCGGAGGGTCCCCTCCCGCCCCCCCGGCCCCGCCGTCAGCAGTGGCTCCTGGCGTGTCCCTGGGGCAGCTCCCTGGGCCGGAGGCTGCTGGTCACCCTCCACCTCGCGCCCAGCCTGTGCTCCTGACAGGCTGCCAGTGGGACCGGGAGTGTCCCGTGCAACAGCTCACCGTGCTGGCTCCCTCCTGCCTTCCCACACCGCGGCCTTCTCTAGGCTCCTCCCTGCCCCCCAGGCCATCCCCAGGAGCCCCTGCCTGGCCTCCCTTCTCTCCCACGCTCCTGCCCTCTGCCGCCTCCGCCCGGAGCCACACCTGCGGGCTCATCCAGGCCTGGCCTGAGGGCAGAGTCTGAGGTGGGCACCCGCGTCCTGGCCACTTCCCCGCAGGGCCTCTCCCTGCCCCCTGCTGGCGACGAGCGGCTGCGCCTGAAGGCCGTCGTGGGCTATAACGGGAACGGGCGCGCCAACCTCGTCTGGAGGCCAGATACCGGTGCGGCCATGGCCCAGGGGCTGCGGGGGGCCTGTCCTGCTGCCCCTCTGGGCCTCTTGTCCCCAGCCCTTCTCCATGGGGGGGGTCATGGGTGTGAGCCCCTGTAGCTGGGCCCACGGGGAGGTGCGCCGTGCCGTGCTGACCTGCCGGGCTCTGTCCGGCCCACAGGCTTCTTCGCCTACACGTGTGGCTGCCTGGTGGTGGTGGAGGACCTGCACTCGGGCGCCCAGCAGCACTGGCTCGGCCACCCCGAGGAGATCTCCACGCTGGCCCTCAGCCACGATGCCCAGGTGCCCGCCCTGCAGCACCCCCACAGGCCCAGAGTTGAGGTGCCCCTGCAGCTCGAGCAGGCCCGTGGACCTCACCCTCCCTGCTGACAGCGCCCCTCCACCACCAGGTCCTGGCCTCGGCCTCTGGCCGAAGCGGCGCTGCCTCCTGCTGCCAGATCCGTCTCTGGGACATTCCCCGGGGCTCCTGCCGGCAGCTCCTCTGTCACCACGACACCACGGTCCAGGCTCTGGCTTTCTCACCAGACGACAGGCTCCTGGTCACACTGGGTCAGCGGGCGGAGGTGGAGGACTGTGGTCTCTGAGCCCCTGCCTGTCGTAGGACCCCTGGGCTGCTGACACAGGCCCTCTGCGTCTCCCCAGGGGGCTATGGTGACGACACCCTGGCCCTATGGAGCATGGCCACCTGCGAGCTCGTGTCCTCCACACGCCTCCCAGAGCCGGTGCACGGTGTGGCCTTCAACCCCTGGGATGCCGGCAAACTGACCTGCGTGGGCCGGGGTGTCCTCACCCTGCAGCTCCTGTGGGGGCGGGCAGGTGACATCAGCCTCCAGGTGCCGGGGCTCGGAGGTGGCCTTGGAAGATGGGGTGTGGCAGCCCGGGCGTGGCTGACCCCCGTTCTCCCGCCAGGCCCACCAGGAGCCTGTCCCCGAGGAGGCGGGGGTCTGGGAGCTGAGCTCACTCTGCTACGGGGCCACACCCCTGCTCTACTGCGGCTCCAGTGAGGGCCAGGTGTGCGTGTGGGACATGCGTGCCGACTGCTGCTTCCTTGCCTGGGAGGCAGATGACGGCGAGATCGGTGGGTGTCTGAAGAGCCCGCGGCTCGGTTCCCCCTGGGAGTCATGATGCCGGGGCGGCGGGACGCCTTCTGGAGCCCCAGGCCTTGGGGACACGGCTCACGCCCGCTCCTGCTCCCCAGGAGTGCTGCTGTGCTCAGGCACCTGGCTGGTCAGTGGCAGCAACACACGTCGGCTGCGCCTGTGGGACATGGGGGCCGTGCCGGAGCTGCGGCGCCGGGGCTCGGGGGCCAGGTGAGCGTGGGCCCTCCAGCTGGCTGGGCCCACCCCCAGGGGTGTGCTCGGGTGAGGCAGTGCCCTGGGCTCTCGAGGAAGCCCTGTGACCCCTGCTCTCCAGGTCCAGCTCTGTGTTCCTGGAGCGTGAACTGACCCTCGACGGGGCTGTCGTGAGCGCGGTCTTCCATGACAGCATGGACATGGGTGTGGTGGGCACCACGGCAGGCACACTCTGGTACATCAGCTGGGCCGAGGGCACCAGCACTCGCCTCATCAGTGGCCACCGGAGCAAGGTGAGTGCCGGGCGGGCCGCTGCTCACACGGTGGGGGAGCCACCGCGCTCCCCCTGCGCCCGTGGGTGCTGTGTCCGCGAGGCGTCCCCGCAGCAGCCCCAGGCCGTGGCCTTCGCGACCCTGCTTGTCCCGCCTCTGTTTCTTGTAGTGTACTTGGAGAAAGCTGGTCGTTCCTGCTGGGATCCCCCACCAGTGGGCTGGGTGTGCCCCTCTAGGGCCCCCGGGGTCTGGAGGCCAGGCCGGGGTCTAGGCAGGGCCAGCCAGCTGGTGTCTGCCCAGCAGTGCCCGTGTCTGGCAGCGGCGGTGGCAGTGGCCTTGTTGGCTCTGAGTCCCCCTGAGCTGGTGGTGACTGCGGCCCTACCTCCCGAGGGGCACGTGTGCTCCAGGCCCTCCCTCTGCAGCTCTGCCTGACCCTGGCCTGCCTGACCTGGTTCTGTGCCTCTCCAGTGGGAACTGGGCTTAGAGGTCACAGTCTGAGGGCCAGAGGGCCCAGCACTTCTCGCCCAAGCAGGACTCAGTTCTTACTTTTTTATTCAAATACAAGACTTGGCTTTTGTCCCCACCTCATTGGTGCACGTTCCCCGTCTCCTTGTTTTACACCAGAGACCCTGATTCTGTGTAATCTTTCTTTCCACACACATGATGATCTCAGGCCGCCCCCCACCGCCCCCCCCACGAGGCTCGGTTAACAGCACGTCCTTTACTTCAGTCTGTGGCCCCCAGAAGTCCCATGTTCTAGGTTCTGTAAGGACAGTTCTTTCTGTCATATCCCAGCAAGTGGACGGTCAAGTTCAACTGACTGGTGGGCTTCCTGTGGTTCACATTTCACCCAGGCTTCATGGGGACCTCAGGAGGGGGCCCTTCACCCAGGCCTCGTGGTGGACCTCGGGAGGGGCCTTCACCCAGGCCTCGTGGGGGACCTTGGGAGGGGGTCTTCACCCAGGCCTCATGGGGGACCTCGGGAGGGGGCCTTCACCCAGGCCTCGTGGGGGACCTCGGGAGGGGGCCTTCACCCAGGCCTCATGGGGGACCTCGGGAGGCTGGGACAGTGAGGCTGTGTCCTGTGGCAGGGCTGGGGCCCGGCAGCTCCAGGGGGAGGCGGATGCTCTCCAGAGCCACGTGGCTATGCTGTGTCCCTCCTTGGCCGTGGGCCTCAGGCAGCCTGGTGGCTCCTCACAGGTGAATGAAGTGGCCTTCAGCCCCGACGAGTCCCACTGTGCCACGTGCAGTGATGACGGGAGCGTGAGGGTATGGTGCGTGGCTAGCACGGAGCTGTTGATCCAGTTCCAGGTGCTCAACCAGGTATTCAGTGGTGCTACAGGGCTGAGGGCACGTCCAGGGCTGGGGGCACGCCCAGGTAGAGCCTGGACCAGGTGCTTGCTGGCCTGGCTCCTGCAGGCCCCATGGCCTCCCCTCCAGTCTCAGTGTCTGGCTAGGCCTGGGCCCCGCCCCTTCCTGGGGAGTCCTGATGTTTTCTGCCGGTGGTCCCCAGAGCTGCCTCTGCCTGGCTTGGAGCCCCTTGTCGTGCAGACGCCCGGAAGAGCAGTACGTGGCAGCAGGCTACAGCGACGGGGCACTGCGGATCTTCAGCATCCCGCGCACAGCCGTGGAGCTTAAGATGTACCCGCACGTGGCTGCGATCACAGCCCTCGCCTTCTCTGCTGATGGTGAGGCTGGGCTCCCGGTGGTGGCATGGCTCTGCGGCTCTGCCTGGTCCAGGTCACGCCTTTGGGCTGAAGGCCAGGTGCACGAGTGACAGCACAGGGTCTGCCTGGCCCAGGTCAGACCATCGTCTCTGGAGACAAGGACGGGCTCGTGGCCGTGAGCCACCCCTGCACGGGGATGACCTTCCGGGTGCTGAGTGACCATCGTGGCGCCCCCATTTGCACCCTCCAGAGCACAAGGAAGGAGGTGACATGGTCCTTCCTGGGTGGGGCCGGCCCAGGCCAGGGTGCTGGCGGGACAGGGAGGGAGAACAGGGCAGGTGACACCCACCAGCCCTTGTCCCCCCAGTGTGGAGACTTCGGGGCAGAGGGCACAGATCTGTGGCTGGCCGCCAGCGGGGACCAGCGAGTCAGCGTCTGGGCCTCTGACTGGCTGCGCGACCACTGTGAGCTTGTGGATTGGCTGAGCTTCCCAGCGCCCGGCCTCAAAGGGGTAAGCGTCCTGGCGGCCCCATGGGCGCGGTGCCCCGGCTGCCCACCCTGCACTGTGCCTCCACAGGCCTCCGGCTGCTTGCCACCCTCGCTCGCTGCCTTCTGCCCCTGGGACCCGGCGCTGCTAGTGTGCACAGGCCTTGGTGTGCACCCCGAGGTGGTCTTCTACAGCCTCCGCCAGAAGCAGGCATGTGCGCCTCTCCACGGTGCTGGGAGCCTGCGGGCCCCAGAGCTGGGGAGGGACAGGTCTCAGGGTCAGGGACCCCTCCCCCGGCCCCCCTCCCCCAGAGCCTCCTGCTTGCTGCCTGCAGGTGGTGGAGAAGATCCCACTGCCTTTCTTTGCTGTGTCCATGAGTCTGTCCCCTGGGGCCCACCTCGTGGCCATTGGCTTCTCTGGTGAGTGCTGGTGACTTGAGTGGGGCTGGCTGGGCACCGCTGTGTACCCTCACAGAGCCATACTCTTCACCATTGGGCCCTGGGTTCCTTGTCCCTGTAGGTGGACTGAGGACACCGCTCCCGGGGCTCACAGATAGATCTGTGACGGGGTGGGGCGCCGGGTTCCCCAGCGAGGCACCAGCTCCGTCTGGGGAGAGGGCCAGGGGGGCAGCAGGCCCCCGCCCCCGCCCTGGCCCAGCCCCTGCTGTCTGCCTGCAGAGCGCATGGTGCGGCTGCTGGACCGCTCATCGGGGGCCGTGCAGGACTTCGCGGGCCATGACGACTCCGTGCAGCTGTGCAGGTTTGCCCCGTCGGCCAAACTGCTCTTCACGGCAGCCTACAGCGAGATCTTGGTGTGGGAAGTGACAGGCTGCTGAGCCCTACCGCTCAGCTGGGCTCTTGGCCTGGGCAGAGGCTTCACTGAGAAGCTGGGTCGGCCCCGTGGGCTCTCCACTCTGTACCGGCGCCTCAGGAGCGTGTGTGAAGCATCAGGAACCCGAACATGTGTGAAGTACTCGGAGCCCCTCACCCTTGGGGTTTTGTTTCTGCCTTGTACAGTTCAAATAAATGTGCGTGTAGCGGTGAAGCATCGTCTCCTGGTCGCTGCAGACTACTGCCCGAGCTCAGCTTCCCCGCAGCCCCAGACCTCCTCCGGGCCTGGACCGCGCGCGCCCGCAGTGCCTGGCGCGCCCACGCGGGGGCGCCGCCGCGCTCTGCCGCCACTCTGGCCCGCCGGTCTCAGTGCGGCTGCGTGGGCGGGGCCGGAAGTGCGCGCTCCGAGAGCGCTGGTCCGGGTCTGGGTCGCGGTCGCGGTGGTGGGTGGGCGGGTGTGCCCAGGTCTGGGCCTTAGCTCCCGGCGCCACCATGAAGCGGGACGTGCGCATCCTGCTGCTGGGCGAGGGTAGGCGCTTGGGTACCGGGTGGGCAGGGGTCTCGGGGCCGGGCCGGGCCGGGGCGGGGCGGCGCGACCTCAGCCTCCGCGCTGACCGCGCTGCCCCGCGCAGCCCAGGTGGGGAAGACGTCGCTGATACTGTCGCTGGTGGGCGAGGAGTTCCCCGAGGAGGTAAGGCCGAACGTCCCGCGCCCCCGCGCCCCTGCGCCCCTGCCCGGCTCCCTCACGGCTGCGTCTGCCCAGGTCCCCGCCCGGGCGGAGGAGATCACGATTCCCGCGGACGTCACCCCGGAGAAGGTGCCCACCCACATCGTGGATTATTCAGGTAGCGCAGCCGCCCGCCCGCCGTTCCATCCAGGAGCCGGCGTCTCTGGCAGGTCTGCAGCGGGGTCTCTTGTTTCAGAAACCGAGCAGACGGTGGAGGAGCTCCAGGGTGAGATTGACAAGGTACAGGGTGTCCTGGGGGCTGCTGGGCACCGGGTCAGGGCTCACGGCTTGGGGGCCGAGCCACCGCGGCTTGATCTGCTTCATCCTCCGAGGGAGCGGATTAAGGAGCCACAGCCTTGCTAATTCTGTCCCGACCTGCCCGCGTGGAGCTCTTCGAGCGGGGGCGGGGCTCTGCCTCTCCTGCCCACCAGGCTGGTCAGCCCTCCAGCCCTCCTCCCCTCGTCTTCCCTCTTCTGCGGACCCTGGGGAGCAGTCTCCAAGTTCTTGAAAGTGATCCGTTGGACAACTGTGTGCCCACACCCCCAGTCCTGACCCTTTAGTCCAATGCACCATCCTGGGTCTCCCGGTTGCACTGGGCGCCGTGAACAGTGCTGTGGGCTCTCTACCTTCCTGTTTTCCGGAGAACCTGGGCCTGGACTAAGCTTCGGGTGCCGCCCCTGCAACCTCCGCTGTGTCCTGGGGTGCGGCTGGCCAGGGTCCGGGCCACAGCCACCGTTTTACCATCACCCCCGTTGTGCTGTCGCCCTCTATCTGCTGTTGGCGGTAGGGGCCAACGAGCGAAGAGCTGAGGCTGGGGTTGGGGCACCAAGTGTCAGGATGGCTGTGTCCTGAGCCCTCATGGGACTCGCTGTCCAGAGCTGAGTACTAGGGCCTGGCTTCTGCAGCGGAAGTGGGCAGCGAAGGGCTGACCTGAGGTGTGGGTGGCCAATGGCCAGTGACTCAGCCTGGGAGCAGCTGAAGCGGTGGGCTTCCCTGGTCTCTGAGCCCCGTCCTGTCTCGCCTGTGAGCAGAGCAGGAAGCTTCAGGTCCCGCCGTGCGACCTCTGCCCTCCTTCAACAGGCAGACGTGGTGTGCGTGGTGTATGACGTGTCTGAAGAGGCCACTGTCGAGAAGGTGAGCATTCCAGGTTCTTGTTACTGGTGCTCAGCCTGGTCACCTGCCTGTTCTCCACACACACCCCAGGCTGGCCCAGGTTCAGGGCAACTTGCACCCGTGGCAGACCGCATGTCTCACGAGGGCTTTGGGGAGTCTCATGGGGCCCCTGGCATCCATCTTCCCTGGAATTCCCCAGAACGTGTCTGAGCAGAGATAGTGGATGGCCTTACATCTGAGTGTCTTTAGGCCTGGGGGGAAGGGCTCCTGACGCCAGGCCTTTTGTGAGTGTTTGGGAACTGCCTGCTGGCTGCTCTCCTGCACTGGCCTTGTTGCTGGTGGCCGTGACTTCCCTCCTCAGTGGGCCTGTCTTGAGCCAAGTGAGAGCTGCACCTGGGAGCTGTGGGCCAGGTGGGCCCCAGCCCTCACGGGCAGCTCTTACTTTTCAGATCCGAACCAAATGGATCCCGCTGGTGAACGGGGATACCAAGAGGGGACCCAGGTAGTAGGCAGGGCTTGGGGAGGAGGCGGGGCCCTGCCGGCTCCCTGATCGCTGGTGACCGTGGGCCTCTCCCCAGGGTTCCCATCATCCTGGTGGGCAACAAGGCAGACCTGCGGCCAGGGGGCTCCATGGAGGCCGTGCTGCCCATCATGAGCCAGTTCCCCGAGATCGAGACCTGCGTGGAGGTGAGCAGACAGGGCCATGGGGCTGCAGAGGCAAGGGCGTGTGCTTTCACGTCTCACCCGAGTCTGCTCCCACATGTCCCAGTGCTCGGCCAAGAACCTGAAGAACATCTCAGAGCTGTTCTACTATGCTCAGAAGGCCGTGCTGCACCCCACAGCCCCCCTCTATGACCCTGAGGCCAAGCAGGTGGGCAGTGGGTGCTGGCGTGGGGGGGAGCAGGAGGGAGCGGCGGGGGTGCTGAGCTGCCATCTCCACAGCTGAGGCCCGCATGTGCCCAGGCGCTCACCCGCATCTTCAAGCTCTCAGACCAGGACATGGACCAGGCGCTCAGTGACCAGGAGCTCAACGCCTTCCAGGTGTGGCCCCACCTGTCTCCCGGCTCCCTATCCCCCGCCCCCTGGTGGCAGCAGCCCCCACTCCTGGGCCGCCCTCGAGACAGAGGGAGAGGGTGCCCAACCAACAACCACTTTCTATTGGAGACAGACGTCCTGCTTCGGGCACCCTCTGGCCCCACAGGCCCTGGAAGACGTGAAGATGGTGGTGAGCAAAAACGTGGCGGGAGGTGTACGTGACGACCGACTGACTCTGGACGGTGAGGCCTGACGCCCTTCTGCCCGGGGGTCGGGGGTGGGCGAGGCCGGGCTGTGCCCGGTGCCACTCCGTCCTCTGCATCCCTGAGCAGGCTTCCTTTTCTTGAACACGCTCTTCATCCAGCGAGGCCGCCACGAGACCACGTGGACCATCCTGAGGCGCTTTGGCTATGGAGACTCGCTGGAGTTGACAGCTGACTACCTCTGCCCACCGTGAGTGGCATTCAGGCTCCAGGCTCGCCTCCACTCTGTGTCGGGTTGGGCATGGGGCTCCTGGACCCTGAGTTGGGGGCCGTTGGCGTGCTCTCCCTGGGTTGGGGGGGCTGGCTGCCTGCCTGGATGGCCTGTGCTGGGAGGAAGTGCCCTGCAGTGCCCGGGAGCTGAGCGCATCCCCACCCCGGTGCCCACAGGCTCCGTGTGCCCCCTGGCTGCAGTGCCGAGCTCAACCACCGAGGTTACCAGTTTGTGCAGAGGATGTTTGAGAAGCACGACCAGGTGAGGGTGCTGGGCCCCGGCTGCGCCCGCGCAGCCCCCTGAGCGCCTGTCACTGCCGCCCCTCTGCTCACAGGACCGGGACGGTGCCCTCTCCCCGGCGGAGCTGCAGAGCCTTTTCAGTGTGTTTCCCGCTGCTCCCTGGGGCCCCCAACTCCCCAGCACGGTCCGCACCAAGGCCGGGCGGCTGCCCCTGCACGGGTACCTGTGCCAGTGGACGTAAGTGTAGCCCTTGCCTGCCCAGACAGGCCCATGCCCTCTGCCCTGCGGCGATGCCACGTGCCCCCCTCTCCTGTCCCCAGCCTGGTGACCTACTTGGATGTCCGGCGCTCTCTTGAGCACCTGGGCTATCTGGGCTACCCCACACTCTGCGAGCAGGACTCCCAGGCCCACGCCATCACAGGTGGGTGCCCGCTTCACCCCGGCCCCTGGCTAGCACCTCCCTGGCAGCCCCCACTTCCTGCTCATCCTCTCTCCCTGCCCACAGTCACCCGGGAGAAGAGGCTGGACCAGGAGAAGGGACAGACGCAGAGAAACGTCCTCCTGTGCAAGGTGGTGGGGGCCCCTGGTGTGGGCAAGTCATCCTTCCTGCAGGCCTTCCTTGGCCATGGCCTGGGGGTGAGCATCTGCGAGACTATGAGGGGGCCTGGGGGCTGGGCTTCTGGGGAGCAGCCGAGCCGTAAGCTGCAGGGGCCTCCCTCCTCAGCACCAGGATGCCCGCAAGCCTGCCGGGGAGCCTTCCATCTATGCCATTGACACAGTGCAGGTCAACGGGCAGGAGAAGTACCTAATCGTGAGTGCCAGGGGGTCCCCAGGGTGGGCCTGGCATGTGCACACGGGGGGGCACTGCGCAGCGTGGCCCAGGGACCCAGCCCTGTGCCCCTCTGCGGCCATCCCATTTAGCTGTGCGAGGTGGCTGCGGACAGCCTGCTGACCGCCTCGGCGGACGCCTCCTGTGATGTGGCCTGCTTGATGTTTGACGGCAGTGACCCCAGGTCCTTCGCGCTGTGCGCTAGCGTCTATAAGGCAAGGTCCCGCCCGCCCTGAGGGCCTGCGGGGTAGCAGGGCGTGAGCAGGGACCCCCGGCGCACTCACACGGCCCCCGCCCTGCAGCAGCACTACATGGATGGACAGACCCCCTGCCTCTTCGTCTGCTCCAAGGCTGACCTGCCCGGAGGCGTCCCACTGCCTGGCCTGTCGCCTGCTGAGTTCTGCCGGCGGCACCGGCTGCCCGCCCCTGCCCCGTTCTCCTGTGCCGGCCCAGTTGAGCCCCGCTTGGGCATCTTCACCCGGCTGGCCACAATGGCCACCTTCCCGTGGGTACCAGCACACAGCCCCGTGGGAGATGCACCCTGTCCCAGGAGGGCGGCGTGGCTTGGTGTTGGCACTGTGGTGGGGCGGGGCAGGCCCTAGGGGTCAGGCCTCTCAGGCTGCCCCTGCTTGGGGCGGTCTGTCGAGTGGGCGCGGGCAGGGAGCAGCTGCGGCGGCTCGGTGGTCTCTGGGAGACGGGGATACAGCAGCAAGGGTCTCCTTTCTCCTGCAGACACCTTGTCCACGGGCAGCTGCAGGCCACCTCCTTCTGGCTTCGGGTGGCGCTGGGAGCCGTGGGGGCTGCCGTCGCTGCCGTCCTCAGCTTCTCCCTCTATAGGGTCCTGGTGAAGAGCCGATGAGGCCCCGGGCCCCGCGGTCTATCTCAGGGTGCTGCGGGGGCAGGGCTTCCCCCGGTCTCCACTTTCCTCCTGAGGACAGCCCCCCACTGCCCTGCCCCTGCCCCTGCCCCTGCCCCGCCTGCAGGTAGGCTGGCTCCCAGCTGCTGCAGGTGCTGGGTGTGGCCTGCCTCTGTGGGCAGCAGGTGTTGGAGGGACCAGGGGTGTTTGAGCAAGTCAATGCCCCCAGACCCGAATTCTCAGGGCTCCATCCCTTCTTCCTGGTCCTTGGTGTATGGCCAGTGGGTGTGAAGGGGGTATGAAGGCAGGAACTTAGGGCTAAAGGCAGGGGGTGGGAGCAAGAAATGGCTGGACCAGCATGTGCCCCCCCCCACCCCCCAGGGACCAGTCCAGGGCAGACGTGAGATTGGGTTTCCTGATTAAATGTCACTTGCGTCTTTTCCATATTGGGTCCTGCTTACTGAAAACGACTTCTTGAATTAATTGAAGTGCGTCCTTGTGAGTGTGGGCTGGGAACATTCCTCTGGAGCTCATGCCTCCCCTCTTGGCCTGGGTCACCATCCTGGGGCCTCGGGTCCAGGTCAGGACCAGTTCGGCCCCGATGCAGCCTCAGAGCCTTGGGGACCATGGAGTCCACACTGGCTGAGGGTGAGGCTGGGGTGCCTAATACTGGAGGTCCCACTGATGCGACCCCCTCCCCCCACTGCCAGGTGTATCCACTCTCCAATCTCAGCCTCCACCTGTTGGCTTGGCTGAAGTGTGCTGAGGCTCTGGGATATGCTGGCATGCCCTGTTATGGGGAAGCTGCCTTCTTTCTCACCACTACCCCCGCCCCGCCCCTCCCCAGAGCCTCTGTCCCTCCCACTGGGCAGGGGACAGCCTGAGGACAAGGGGGCAGAGAGCCTTCCTGGGGCTGAGGTGGGGGCCTGGCTTGGCATTCAGGCCCTCATGCCGGCGTTCATCCTGGGCTCCCGTCCCCTCCGTCCTGCACTTGGTCTTTCTGTGCAAGGCAGGCCCTGGGCCCAGGCCCTCAAGCCCTGACAAGCTGTTTCTAGGGGGCAGGGAGCTGCCCACCCAGCAGGAACGCTCAGACCTAGCCCAGTAGGGACTGGGGGTCAGACCCGGAAGTTGTCCGACCATCCCAAGGCTCCTGGTGCAGTCCTCACTGGTGCCAGGCATGGCAGGATGCTCTTTGCTGCTGCGTCCATCCCAAGACCCAGCTGCATGGGGGTGAGAGTGGCCCTGTGGTGCGCGTCCCGAGTGCCATCTTCCTTACTGGAGGGGTCTGCCTGCCCTCCCTATGGGCCAGGGCCCCTCCCCATCCCAGCTCTGGCCACAGGCGGGGTCAGAAGCCTCCAGCCCAAGGTGTGTGGGTCCCCACCCGCTAAGCAGGGCCAGCTGCAGGCCTTCCCTGCCCCCTGCTATGTGGGCTGGGCCTGATGCTAGGCTGTCAGGATGGGCAAGTTGCCTGCAGGGAGGTACCTTCTGGGAGCCCCCGCCTGGAGAGTCCCAGCAGTGGGCTGTTCCCTGAGGCCTTCCCCGAGGAGGTGGCGTTGGCGCTGACACCCCGCCCGGGAAAACGGGTCGTGTGCAGGAGGGTCTTGGGTACTGCGCGTGACTCAGTTTCACGGCTGCCGCTCCGCGGGACTAGCAGGATGGGAATTGGGAGCCGCGCGCCGTTCTTGCCCGGGCACGTCCTCGTGCGGGGTGCGCGCGTGTCCCGACCGCGCGTGGCTGGGCGGGCGTCGGTGGCGTGTGCGGCGGGGGCGGGCGGCTCCGTGACGCGGCGCCGAACGGAGCGGGCGGAGCCGGAGGGCCGGGGCGGAGCGGAGTCGTCCGCAGAGCAGCCCCTCCCGGCCGCGGCCGCCGACCCCGGCCCCGGCCCCCGGCCCGGCTCTATGGACAGGAGCTCGCTGCTGCAGCTTATCCAGGAGCAGGTGCGTGCAGAGGTGGGGGGCGACGGCACCGCCCCCGCCGCGGCCCTTCGCCCTTGGGTGGGCCGGGGAACGGACTTCTCAGAGACCCTCAGCCCAGCGTCTCCCTGCGCGACCTTAGCCTCCCGCCCAAGACCCAGGAAAGGGCGAGCCAGAGCAGGGCGCTCGCAGCGTGGCGGGAGGGGGGTGACTGCCCTCATACCTTGGCCCTACCCCTCCAGGATGGGCAGGGCTTAAATGAGGGGGAGAACCCTGGAGAACTAGCGGAGCTTCAGGCCAGGGACCTAGGCGCTGGTGCCTGCAGCTCCTAGGACCACGTGGGTACAGGGACCTGGACCTGGGGTGTTCAGAGGCTGCCTCTCCAGGCTGACCTGCCCAGCCCTGTGGTCTGGGGGCCAGGCCCACGCTCAAGCCCTGGCTGCTGGCCTCCCCCCAACTGCAGCAGCTGGACCCTGAGAACACAGGCTTCATTGGTGCAGACACCTTCACTGGCCTGGTGCACCGCCATGAGCTGCCCCTGGACCCAGCCAAGCTGGACATGCTGGTGGCACTGGCCCAGAGCAACGAGCGGGGCCAGGTCTGCTATCAGGAGCTGGTGGACCTGGTCAGTGCACTGTGGGCGGGCAGCTGGGGTGGGGGCCCAGCCTAGCATGTGCAGTCCCTTGGCTGGAGTGGGGTGGGCAGGTGGCCCCTCCTCCCTGCCCTTTCCACTGGGGAGGGCTGTGGACACAGGGCAGAGCCTGGGACCGACCCTGTGAGGAGCTGGGTGGACCCCTCAGGAGGGGCGTCCCTGGGTGGGGGGAGTATGGTGGTCTATGCCTGGGCCCCGCCCCCTAGATCAGCAGCAAGCGCTCAAGCAGCTTCAAGCGGGCCATCGCCAACGGACAGCGGGCGCTGCCTCGGGACGGGCTGCTGGATGAGCCAGGCCTGGGTGTTTACAAGCGGTTCGTGCGCTACGTGGCCTACGAGATCCTGCCCCGAGAGGTGGACCGCCACTGGTATTTCTACCGGCACCGCAGCTGCCCGCCCCCCGTATTTATGGCCTCAGTCACCCTTGCCCAGGTGGGCCTGCCTGTCCAGCCAGCTCCCCGGGCGCCTCCCTCGCCCCTGGTCCTGCCTGGCCCCAGCACTTGTCCCCCCAGATCATCGTGTTCCTGTGCTATGGGGCCCGGCTCAACAAGTGGGTGCTGCAGACCTACCACCCCGAGTACATGAAGAGCCCCCTCGTGTACCACCCCGGCCACCGGGCTCGGGCCTGGCGCTTCCTCACCTATATGTTCATGCATGTCGGGTGAGCACCCCCCATCTGGGTCTGGAGAGCTCAGCCCCTCGAAGTGGGGGCAGGGGGCTGGTAGCCCCACTGTGGACCCCACCCTTCCCTTCACACCCATTTGCCCCCCTCCATGGCCAGGCTGGAGCAGCTGGGGTTCAATGCCCTCCTGCAGCTGATGATCGGGGTGCCATTGGAGATGGTGCACGGCCTGCTCCGCATCAGCCTGCTCTACCTGGCGGGTGTGCTGGCAGGTGAGGCAGCTGCGTGCGCCGGGGCTGCCACAGCCGGCCTCACCCTCACGGCTCTCCCCTTGCTCACACAGGTTCCCTGACCGTCTCCATTACTGACATGCGGGCCCCTGTAGTGGGGGGCTCCGGCGGGGTCTATGCCCTGTGTTCTGCACACCTGGCCAATGTCGTCATGGTAATGGGGCAGCCCCTGGGGTGGGGTGAGGGGAGGGGCCCACGAGACCTATCTCACCGCCTCTTCTTTGCACCCCATCAGAACTGGGCTGGGATGAGGTGTCCCTACAAGCTGCTGAGGATGGTGCTGGCCCTGGTGTGCAGTAAGTAGGGAGCCAGGGCGGGGGCCTCAGCCCCTGGCCAGGGAGCCTCACCTGCCACCTCCCCCTGCAGTGAGCTCCGAGGTGGGCCGGGCCGTATGGCTGCGCTTCTCCCCGCCACTGCCTGCCTCAGGCCCACAGCCCAGCTTCATGGCGCACCTGGCGGGCGCGGTGGTGGGCGTCAGCATGGGCCTGACCATCCTGCGCAGCTACGAAGAGCGCCTGCGGGACCAGTGCGGCTGGTGGGTGGTACTGCTTGCCTATGGCACCTTCCTGCTGTTTGCCATCTTCTGGAACATCTTTGCCTACGACCTGTTGGGTGCCCATATCCCCCCACCACCCTGACAAGGTCACAGGGGCCAGGGTGTGGACCCCAGGGCCAGCCACTGGGCGGGCCTGCATGTCCACCCTCAGTGAATGTAGTCTCGAGGCTGCTCCTTCCCGGTGTGGAATGGTGGCCCCTGTGGCCCACTGAGTCCAGGCCAAGCCTTACACCAGCCCTGGCCACCCCCTCCCAGGCTGGAGGGGCAAGGACTGCTGGCCTGGGCCAGGTGGTGGAGGTCCCCAGGGGTGGCCCCAGAGGAGACCCTGCCCCCACCTCTTCCCTGAGACTTGCAGTCTGAGCCTTTTTGAAGAATGAATAAATATTTTACACAGCATCAGCTGGCTGTACTGGGGCCCTGGGCTGGGCTCGTCTCCTCCTCACTCTGAGAGAGTTAACTAACCAGTTAACTAACTGTGAGAGCCCTTCCCTCCACAAGAGTGGCTGAGGTGCCCCCCTTGCTTCTCTGTACCCAGCGTGAGGTGTGTCTGTGGGAGCCGGGAGCCCTGGGGAGGGGCTGTGGGCCTCACATTCAGGTATCAGTTCAGCAGGCATTTATTGAGCTTCGAGAGCAGCCAGCTTCCTGGTCAGCCAGCCTCCTGTCCAGAGACTTATGGCCTGAGATCACAGGGCAGGTGAGCAGGCTCTGGGCCGCAGCCAAGTCACTCAGCCTGGGTCCTGCGCTTCTTGGCTGGCCTGGTGTCCTCAGCGGGGACCAGGCTGGGACCCAGGTTGGGCAGCAGGTTCGGGCACATCTTCCGCCCTACAGCCCAGGTCCACAGGGCCATCTCCACGTGGTGTGGGGTCCACAGCCCAGATGGACTGCCTAGAGAAGGGCAGAAGGAGCCTGGGGCTTGGAGATACCGATCTTCCTACCGTCAGAGAGAGCTCTCTGTGACCACCCTGGCCGCCGTGGTCTCCGCACCTTGGCTCAGAGCTGTGGCACGCTCCTGCATCCGGCTCAGGTAGAGCAAGTAGTGCTTGACAGTGTACTGCAGGGCGGGCAGGCCGGGCACTGCGGCCACTGCCTCCTCAGACATGAAGGCTGCCACCTCAGGAGCTCTGGCAGCCAGTACCGCTGTGGGCAGTGAATGGACAGCACTCAGCCCCTCGTGGGCCTGGGGCTGCTGTCTCCAGCAACTCTCCCGTGTAACGTATCTTGCCATCAGACCATTTCACGGATAAGGACACTAACAGGCCAGGTTCCGCCCGCGACCCTGCCCGAGAATGGTCCAGCTTTCCCGACTAACCCGAGGCGGTAGCCGGGCCCACGCCGCGGAGGGTGCACAGAGCCATGACTGCTGCGTGCATGTCTGGCAGAAGGCGGAAGGCGGCGGCCGAACGCTGCACCACCAGCTCCGGAGAGTTGGCGGCCACAAGTTGCCGCAGGCGCGGTCGGAAGCGGCCCCTCTGTGGCCAGGTCGGGTCGGGTATCACGGGTGGTGGCTCTTGCCAGGAGCCCCCTCAAGACTGCCACGAGGGTGCGCCCCCAGGGAAGCCCCGCCCACGTGGCTGTGCCGCGCCCCACATGTGAAGCCTTACCGCCAGTTTCCACTCCAGCAGCCGCTCCAGCTCGTCTCGTGTCACGTGCTTCTCCGCGCGGGCCTCGATGGCCGCGGGCAGCTCCTCTCGGTACCTGGGGGGAGGCGGTGCTAGGAACTCCGGGCCACGGGGCTCGGAGCCCACCTGCAGACCGGAAGTTCCGGTGGCGGAGCGCTGGACCGGGCCCGAGCGGATCGCGGGCTCGGGCTGCGGGGGCAGGGCGGGCTGGGTGCGGAGCCTGGGAGCGGAGCCCAGGCGGTGCCGCGCGGCGCCATGAAGGGCAAGGAGGAGAAGGAGGGCGGCGCACGGCTCGGCGCCGGCGGCGGCAGCCCCGAGAAGAGCCCGAGTGCACAGGAGCTCAAGGAGCAGGGCAATCGGCTCTTCGTGGGCCGCAAGTACCCGGAGGCGGCGGCCTGCTACGGCCGCGCCATCGTGAGTTCGCCCGCGCTGCGGGAGGGGCTTGGCGTCCGAGCCAGGGGAGGGGCCGGGCTGCGGCTTCTGCCCCGCGCCCTCCCCAGAACACGTCGGGCCGTGCCCGCCAGACTTTCGGAGGGAGGGGTGGGTGCTTGGGGTCTGGGGCCAAGGCCGCGCCTTTCCCGAGCCAGTGCGGGTTGCCAGAGAACTGTGTTGGGTGGGAACTGTAGCTGTTCGAGGCCCACTGGGCTGGGGACCAGGCACCCTTGCCCCTTGAAGAGTCACACGCGATGCTGGGGATTTCCACGAGTCTGGGAAAGCTACCTTCACAAGACTCATTGGAGTCCAGAGAGTGGGCTCACGTAGGCTTCACCCTCCCTCAGAACCCAGAGGCTTGGAAGCTGAGAAAACGCTAGTGTCTTGGTTCCAACTGTGGGCCTCAAGTTGGGACGGAGTGGGCAGACTGAGCTCACTCCCTCATGCTGGCTGGTCCGGCCTTGGTCCCCAGACCCGGAACCCCTTGGTGGCAGTGTATTACACCAACCGGGCACTGTGCTACCTGAAGATGCAGCAGCACGAGCAAGCCCTGGCTGACTGTCGGCGCGCCCTGGAGCTGGACGGGCAGTCTGTGAAGGCACACTTCTTCCTGGGGCAGTGCCAGCTGGAGATGGAAAGCTATGATGAGGCTATTGCCAACCTGCAGCGAGGTGGGCTTACAGGCTAGCCGGTTCCAGGGTGCCTGGGACCAGGTGGGTGGACCGGCTGAGGTTTACCCAAATACTCTATCCCCCAGCCTACAACCTGGCCAAGGAGCAGCGGCTCAACTTTGGGGACGACATCCCCAGTGCTCTGCGCATCGCAAAGAAGAAGCGCTGGAACAGCATCGAGGAGCGGCGCATCCACCAGGAAAATGAGCTGCACTCTTACCTCACACGGCTCATTGTGGCTGAGCGTGAGAGGTGGGCTCCCCCCTCTAGTCACCACTCAGGTTAATTCTGAGGTGTGAACACAAATGTTTATTGAAGGCCAACTCTGGCACGCAGGAGATGGAGGAGAATGAGGCCTGAATGAGCCTAAGACTGGAGTGGAGTCTGACTGCCCCTGGCCAGACCCATCTCTGATCACCTTTTGGTCAACCCCCAGGGAACTGGAAGAGTGTCAGCGGAACCACGAGGGTGATGAGGACGACAGCCACATACGGGCCCAGCAGGCCTGCATTGAAGCCAAGCATGTGAGGGTGCCCCAGCTCAAGTGTGTGTCCTGTGTGTGTGTGCGCGCGTGCTGTGACGTGAGGTGCCCCAGCTCCTGTCGGGTCTGTGTCTCTCTCTGCATGGGGAGGGGAGAGGGGTGTCAGGCCCACAAGTGGCTGTTTGGTTCTTTGCAGGACAAGTACTTGGCAGACATGGATGAGCTCTTCTCCCAGGTAGATGAGAAGAGAAAGGTGAGCTGCCCATCTTCTGGGGCCTGTGGGTAGCCAGAGCAGTGCCCCTTCCCAGCCCCTGACCTGACCCTACCCTGTGTGCTGCAGAAGCGAGACATCCCCGACTACCTGTGCGGCAAGATCAGCTTTGAGCTGATGCGGGAGCCCTGCATCACGCCCAGCGGCATCACTTACGACCGCAAGGACATCGAGGAGCACCTGCAGGTGAGGGCCTGTGGGTGTTGGCAGTGGAACCCCCACCCACTGAGCAGCTCCTAATTCTAATCCTGTTGTCACTACAGCGCGTGGGCCATTTTGACCCTGTGACTCGGAGCCCCCTGACCCAGGAACAGCTCATCCCCAACCTGGCCATGAAAGAGGTCATCGATGCCTTCATCTCTGAGAATGGCTGGGTAGAGGATTACTGAGCAGGGTGGGTGTATGGGCCACCCACCTGCCTTGCCCGGTATCCTAGCTCAGGAGGGCCTTGGGGCAGTAGCCCCTAGTTTTCTGTATATAGTTTGTGTCCCTGGATCCCTACCCTGGTGTCCCCATCCCCACCCTCATCAGTTCTGCTGGGCAACGCGCCTCTCATCCTCCTCCTGGGCCAGAAAAGCGGGGTGAGGGTGGGCTGGGCTGAGGCTGCTGCCGCCACCTCTGTCCCTGTAATAAAACCTGTGAGCACTGCGGGGATGCGTGCTGGTGTGCAGTGGGCTCGCCAGCCACCCCCTTTGGCTAGCTGAGGAAGGTAGAGATGAAGACGCTGGTGTCAAGGTTGAGTGTGGCATGCCACCATCGGTCAGGGAAATACAGCACCTGGCAAGGGGTGGGGGGGGACATGTGGGTTGATGGGTTGGCCTGGGGGTCCTTGGCCCGGCTCAGCCTGGCCCTTGCCTGCCAGCCACTGACCTCACCAGCCTGGACAGTGCATTCCAGGGGCCGTGCAGATGGTGTCAGGGCCGGGTATGTGTCCCGGAGCCAGGCCAGTGTGGTTTTGTTGGGGTGGAATTCGGGCGTCTTCTCAGGAGGGTACAGGAACCAGCGCTGGGGGGTGGGGGGGAGCAGCAGAGTTATGCTTTGTGTTTTGGTCAGTGAACCCAGAGTCTCAGCCCACACCCTGTGCTGACCTTGCGGCCATAGATCACCTCCGAGAACCCGGGTCCATGCCAGTGGAAGGGCACCCCAGAGCCAGCTCCTGTGGGGCAAGTTATGAGCACCTGGTTGCCAAGCTTAATCCTCCCCACCCAGCCCCAAAGTCCCCTCATCCTGCAAGGCACCCACCTGCAATCCCAAAGCTGTAAGCAGGAGTTGTACCCAGTAGGCTGAACGGAGGTGGAGAGTAGTGCCGAAAGAGGGAGGCCCATTCAGTGAAGTTGTTGTCCCCAAAGAAGTACAGAGTGTCTGCCAGCAGAAAACAGGAGAAAATGGGGATCTCCAAGTCACCCCCCACACACATACACACCCATGGCCACCTGTCTGGCTCACCATTGCCCATGGAGATAGGGTCCTGGGGGTGCAGCATCTGCTCCACATACTTCTGAAAGGGCAGGTCCACTGCAGTTTGAAAGGTATTGGTCAGGACTAGTTGGTGCTGCCTGCAAGATGCTGGCAAGTAGGCTGGGCTGCAAGGTGGGGCAGCTCACCTTTCTGGTAGGAGTAGGTGTTGGCGGTGCTCAACCGGACCACGCTGTGTCCAAAGGAGGCCAACAGCCTCTGACGGGTGCATAGGTCCCGGAACCTCTGCAGAGGTAGAGAAAGGACTTAGGGGTGGGGCCCTGCACTGGCGAGTGGTGGTCGAGAGGAGCGTGAATACTCACTGAATTGTCTGTGAGCCCCCGCAGAATAACAGGTCTGGAAAAGGCGTAGCTAGAAGGAAGGGCAGGGTCACGGCCAGGTCTGACCCGCGCCCACCCTCGGCTCCCGCCCACACGCGCTCGAAGGGGCTCAAGGGGAAGCGGCCTAGGGAGGAACAGTGCGCGTCCTCGGCGGTGCAGGGGACAGCTCTAGGGACAGGTTTCCGGGAGGTGTGGCCCCGCAGGAGGGCGCAAGTACCGCTGCACGAACTCGGCGTAGCTGAGGTCGGCCCGGCGCTCCACAGTGCAGTGCTCCTCCTCCGTCACGGCCGCCGGCGCCCCCGGCCCGGGCCGCCGCCTGCCGACACAGCGGCTCAGTTGGCCGGCCGCCCCGCCGCGCTCCCCGCCCCGCCTCGCCCCGCCCGGCGTCGCTCACCACCCTCCGTCGGCGTCCTCCCCGGAGCTCCGGGCGGGAACCGCCAGGGTCCAGAGCGCGAGCCACAGAAGCGGCCGCGCCCCCAGCGCCATGAACCCGCCGCCGCGAGGCACGCCGGGAGCGCCGCCGTGATGCTACCGACTGGCTGGGGAGCCGCTTCCTTCGGCCCGGAAGGAGGGCGCGCTTCCGGGGGGCGGGGCGAGGGCCACTCCAAGAGCTGCTATTGGTTCCTGCGCCGCGGAGGCCCCGCCCTCCGCCCAGCAGAGCAGGCTGCGCGGGGACCTGACTTCAAGCGACGCGAGCAGGTAAAGAGCCGCTCAGAATGTCTCCCGCGTCCTTTATTTGGTTCAGAAGCCCGTCCCCACCAGCCCGGCAGCGGATCAGGAGTACTCGCACAGGTGGCCGCAGCCAGCGGGGCAGTGGGAGCTGCCCTCCAGCCACTTCATGATGTGCTGCAGGTGGCCGCCGTGGCTGCAGCCTTGGCACCACACGAAGAGCCCCTTGACCACGTGGTGGCAGACGGCGCACATGCTGGCGCAGCGGCGGCAGCGGTCGCACACCCAGCCCCGGCTGCTCATGGGCCGCTTGCAGTGACTACAGTTGACATGCAGGGTGGTGGAGGCCTGGTTGAGGCAGCTGATGGCGCGACTGGTGCTGAGCTTGACCACTTGGTTGGACACATTCCAGAGGCAGAAGCGCTGCAGCAGGTCGATGTAGGACGTGTACCAGTGCTCCTGGCGGCAGGACAGAGAGGGCGGAGTAAGAGCCCGGGCTTCCCTGGGCACAGACACAGGTGTGGGTGTAGGCGGGGCGTGCAGGGGCAGTCTTCGGGGTGGCAGCTGCTCCGGGGAGACCCCCAGACCCTGTCACCCACCTGGGTCTGTTCGTCGATGTCCTTGCGCACACGCTCACCCAGCACAATGAGCACGGACACGGCCATCTGCACGTCACCCTGCTCGGCATAGAAGCGCAGCATGTCACACACCAGGGCACTGAAGAAGTCAGGCGGCAGGCGGCTGTCACACAGCGCGTGCGAGACAGAGATGAGCGAGAAGGAGGAGTCCACAGGCACCAGGGAGGCTGCATCGGCCTCACTGCCGCTCACGTGGGGAGAGTCGGCCTTGTCTTGCAGGTGCTCGGGCCCTGGTGGGGTATCCACAATCTCGTGGCGCAGAGGGAAGGCCTCCTGGGGCAGCACATACTCGGGCTCCTCGGCTGCAACACAGGGGCAGTAAGGGTAGACAGGCTCTGAGCCTCTGGCCCTGCCTCCCAGCCCCGCCCCATCCCTTCCCCACACCCCCACTTACAGTGTGCGTGTTCCGGATCCAACAGGTAAAGCTCATCGTCCTCACCTTCCACGTCGCCCAGCAGGTAATCAGTGGGCACATCACTGCCCTCAGTCTCCTCATTATCTGTCCAAGGGAGGGAGGGCATTCCAGGACTGCCTCACGCTGGGAGACCCAGTCCCACTCCCATGAAGGCCCTCTGCCCGCCCCCACCCTACCTTCGTTGGTTATAAGTGTGGCTGAGGAGTCCAGCAGCACTGTGTCGCTCCGTGTATCACCCTTGCTGCGGTCCAGCCGAGTCTCACTGCCCAGCCCCGGGGCCATATCCTTCAGGTTGAAACTAGGGGCAGGGAGGGCCGATGGGTGGGTAGGTACCAGCAGTCCCACCCTCTGGGGAAAGCCGCCCCCAAGTGTCTACCTGTTCATGAGGGGCAGGCCACAGGAGCTGCCCTTGCCCACACTGTGGTTGAGATTGGTGGTGGGCACCAGGCCAGGACTACAGTAGATGATCCGGAGCATGGTCCACGTCTGAGCCACCTAGGGGTGGGCACTAGTCACTCATGGGGGTCCTGGGTCCCTGGCACCCTGCACAAGCCTCCCTCTGCCTGGATAGAACCACAAACCCTCAGCTTTCAGCTGCCCCAGGGACCCAATGTCCTGTCCCACCCCAGGTGGGAAGCCGAGGCCCACAGGAAAAACAAACACCCTAGCCTCCATCCTGTAGGGGCAAAGGAAACATGGAAATGGGCCTGAGGTCCCAGGGAGGTGATGAGAAAGGCATTGTGGACGTTCTCTGTAGGGCTGGACACCCTGGGAAGTTTAGAAGCAAGGACAAACCAAGAGGGGCCAAGACCCCACAACACCCAGGCCTGCAACCCCAGGAATGGCACTGGTGTCGGCCCACTCCTGGGGCTCTGTACACTCTCAGTTACTGGGGCAAGCTGGGGGTGTCCTCAGCCAGAGCTGAACTCTGAACTCAGGGCAGGGTCCGGCCACATCTGTCAGAGGAGCTCCAGGCCCTGTGCCAAGATCCTGGCCCTCAGCCCAACCTGTGTACCTGGTTGCGGCCAAGCTCTCGAGCCACTTTCGCATTGTGGTCACAGAGTTCAGCCAGTGGTCGGCCGGCCAGGGCATAACGCTCGGCCGTGTCCACGAACCAGCTCATGCTGCCACTGCCGGGTTCTATCTCAAAGACATTGAGGGCACTGGAGGCAAGGCCTGCAAAGGGCTCGGCAGGGTCCAGCTTGCGCTTGAAGAAGATGGGGTGGCGCCGATCCCCAGCGTAGGGTTTGCGCCCCGACTCAGTGGCCACGAGGCTCTCCTTGGCTGCGAAGGCCAGGTCCCCAAAGAGGCCATAGCAGAGGCCCTCAGGGTTGGCTCGCTCAACAGGCTGGCTGGCGTCGCGGAACAGGTGCTGACACAGAGTGCTGTCCTTAGAGCCAGAGAGCAGGAAGGAGGGGTCATGTGGGTGGCGCCAGGCGATGCCCGTCGTGACGTCCCGGTGCTCCTCAAACATGGCGGCGGGCACGAAGGGGCGGCGCACGTCCCACACATAGACGTTGTGGTCCACCATCATGGAGCATGTGGCGAGGTGGTGGCGGCACTCGGGCCTCCACTTGACTCTGGCTACGGAGGCGATGGTCTGCACGCAGTGCACCTCCTTGGCACGGTGTGTGGCCATGTCCCAGACCTTCACCATCTTGTCACGCCCACCTGTGGCCAGCCAGCCCCTGGGGAAGGCACATGAAGTCCCCAGTGACCTCCTTCGGGGTGGGAGGGCTCCCCACTGTCTCACGGGTCTTGAGGCAGTGAGAGAGCCCTTCCACAAGCCCACCCACCCTGCCCTGCTGCCCTGGCCCCTACCCACACCTGTCCTCGGGGTGCCAGTCGCAGCAGAATACAGGCCCATTGTGGGCTGTGAACATTCGCTCACAGCGGTCAGGCCGCCGAATGTCCCAAAGCTGCACGTTGCCATTCTCGAAGGTGGACGCGAAGGTGAAGTAGTCCCGGATGCTGAACTGGACATCACGTACACTCTCAGACTGGCCTGTGAGCGGACATTAGTGGAGGGAGAAGGTTGGGGGTGGGGGACGGGGTGGCCCACAGGAGCTCCAGAGGGGAGAGCAAGCAGCCAAGGGGGATTCCTCGGAATGGATGTGGGCTGGTGTTGCATGCCTGCCCGTGGCCCAGACTAGAAGGCCTGGAGGGTGGCGTAGACACTGCCAAGGCCTGTCCAAAGTGGACAGGGGCCAAGAGAGACATGGCAAAGCAGGCATGGCAATAGCCTAGGCAGGTGAGAGGGACACCAGGCATCAGGTGGTTTTTAACAGACTCCTGGACCTTGATTTTCTCTGGATTCTGCATCTGACATCCATCCTCGTGCAAAGCTGTCACTGCTTCAGGACCAGGTGTCAGAACACTGTGTGAACAGGAGCCTTGGTGGGCCAAATACAATCCTCTGGAAGCCTCAGGTCCCAGGAGGCAGGGATAGAATGCCCCGGGCTCTGCCCTGGCCCTACACCTTGAGCTGGAGCTGCCAGGTTGGCCAGCCCCCAAGGACTGGAGACCTTGAGGGGACACGTCCAGCCCTGAGGACCACCATACCAGGAGCCTCCGAATGCAGCACCCAGCTTTCCCCCACACGGGGAGCTCAAGGGCTGTCGTAAGAGACGCCCTGATTATCTGAGGGCTCTGCCCTGTCCTTCATTTGGTCTCATCGAGGTAAAAAGGAGAGCTGGCTCAAGGCGGGGGTGTCAGGAGCTGGGCCTGCTGGGAAGGGAACTGGGGGGAGGGGGGAACCAGGCAGTGCCCCACTCCTCACTGCTTCCCTGGCTGAGCACCCTGGAAGCAGACTTCACGCAATGAGGTGGCCTGGGGTTCTGAGGCATGGCGAGAGGAGGTTAAGCTGCCAGGGCAGCCACCCACTTGCCCTCTCCCTGATCCCACACTACCCTCGCCTCCTGCTGGCCCCGCAAGTGCATCAACGCTGTGCCCACACTTCAGGTACCCCTCACACTTCCACCAGGCCCACCCCTGCCCCTTCCCTGCTGACCAGCACCCCCTCCTCCAGTGCCAGCTCAGCTGGCTCCTCCTCCAGGAAGCCCTCTGGGAGCACACCTGAGGGCCTCTGTCACACACAGCGCTTCTCAACCTGCCTAGACAGGCCGGCCACCTGCAGAGATGCACACCTGCCCGACCTGCCTCCCGGGGCCTCACCCGAGAAGGTGCTGACAGAGTCCTTCCTGCGCAGGTCAAAGCACTTCATGAAGCCATCCTGGGAGCCGCTGAGCAGCACGTGGGCCTCAGTCGGGTGGAAGCAGACTTTGTTCACCGTGCGCTTGTGCTCCGTGAACAGCTGGTCCTGCTTGTTGCGGGACGGCCGGCCCAGGTTCCAGGTGACCACCACGCCATTGGTGGCCGCTGTGGCCAGCAGGTTCTCGTCCATCTGGTGCCAGACAACGTCTGCACAGCTCAGGTTGAGGGAGGGCTTGCGGCCCACGCGCAGGTTCAGCTTCTCCACAAACTGCTCCTCCTCAATGGCATAGATCTTGAAGATGCTGCGGCCTGCTACGACCACCTGGGCTGCGTCACGGCACACGCTGATGGCGTTGGCTGGAGCATCCAGGTGGCAGTGCATGGTGCGGCCCGTCAGCACGCTCCCACTGAGGGCCGTGGTCACGCGGGACATCTTCTCCATGGCTGCAGGGGTGGCGAGGACAGGTCGGTGAAATGGGCAGGCCTGGTCAGCTTGGTGGCAGGGGCGTGTCCGTTCAGACCCTTCACCCTGGGTGGTTCCTCCAAAACTGCTTAGTCCAGAGGAGTCCACCGTTAGTCACTCGGTCTGACAGGCAAGTTTCATCACCCTGGCCGGGCAGTTGGAGGGCGCCATGGCTGCCCTGAGGCTAGCCAGCCCCATGTCTGACTTCTGGGGGAGACCTTACCTGGTCAGCCCCAGGCCAGGCCACTTCTCCAACACCCTAACTGCCAGATCAGGATGGTCACTGGACCTTCGGGCAGTCAGTCCCGTCAGGGAAGCCAGATGACTCCCACCGTGCACAGTCGGCCTCTGGAAAAGGGGCGGGAAGACCAGAGGCGCCCGGAGAACACAGGCTACCGAGGCACGAGGGTCAGAGGGGCTTTCAGGACCGAGCTGTTTACGGAGCCCGAGGGGTGGCTGGCGCGACCGCTCAGGAGAGCCCGGCGGCGCGGAGGTTGCGGCGGGAGCTGAGACAGCGGGAACAGAACCGGAGGAACAGAGAAGTCTCTCTTTCCGCGGGCACCTGAGCCATTTCCCGAAACTGCCGGTCCGGGGAGGAACTGCCACGCCGGAAACAGCCCTTCTCCGTCCCGCCCCCCGCCGAACGTGGTCCTTTTCTTTCCAGCTCCGCGCCGGAAGCGGGTGCCCACACTAAAAGCGTTCCGGAACGGGAGCGCGCCGTGGAGGCGGAGGGGCGAGCAGAGGTCGGGGAGAGGTTCCGCAGAGGTCGGGGAGAGGTTCCGCAGATTCCGCCTCCGGTATTCTTCCTCTTCCCCTTTTACTCGCGTTATTTTAACGCTAGTGCTCATCTCTGCCCCATGGTCCTTCAGCAAGCTCAGGCACCCCCAGACTGGCCCCACGCCCCTCCTCCGTCTCCGCCTTCTTTTTCGTCCTCTTCGGACCCGGGAACAGCCTCCTAGCGGCTCTCCAGAGGTCCCCCCTCCTGTCTCATCTGAGCCCGGCACAGCCAGGGACTCCAGCCTGCGGGCCTCCACACGTCCTCACCGCGCTGGGAGGCAAATCCCGAGCTCCCGGCCGCGTCCTCCCCACGCACCTCCCGCCACGGCGGCTGCCAGCCTGCCGAGCCCTTGCCTTCCTCACAGTCATCGCGTGTGCTCGCTCGGTGTCCTCCCCAGAACGCTTCTCCTCATCCCTCAGAGTTCAGCTTCAATGGCATGTTTTTAGAGGCCTTTCCCAGCCACCCCATCTAAGTGGCCTCCACGGCGCTCGTCACAACCAGTTCCCCGGTATACTGATTACATCTGTTTCACACGAGTGTGAACTCGCATCCGTCTGTCTCCAAGAGCTCTGGTGCCTGACTGGACCTGCTCACACAAAAGGTCCAATCAGTGACCCTCTCTGAGCCGCCCTTTCTCTCCTGGGTGTGCGCCCTGACCTGTGCTTGCTGCGCTGTGATCTTCTAGGATACCCCTAGCAGCCCTCATTTTTGCCCTTGTAAGAATGGGCGAGATCCTAGATATTTTGGAAGGAGTGTTATATGTAATGATTTTAGCGTCTATCCCCGCTGACACAGTGAGAGGTTAGGGGCCTTCTGTGGTGGTCACTGCTGGGTTTCCAGTCTGGCACAGTGTTACCAGTCTCTGCATGTTTATTGAAAGAACCAATAAACCTGATGAGGGGTGCACAAAAATTCAGACTTGGGCCACTCAAGACAGATAACACCTTCCCTCCACCGTGGTGTGATGACCTAAAAACAATTCAGACGTGTTTTTACAACTTTTTTAATATATATTTTTATAAACAGGTCACGTGATAAAATAGCACAAGAAACACTTACCAAATATAAGGTTATATCTTCCGCATATACAGGAGAATGAGGTCGTTATGTACAATAAGAAAATGATTTTAGGGGTTGGTTGGTTTTGTTTTCCTCTGTCCCCCTAATTTTTCCTCCTACAGTCGTTGGAAATATCACAGCTTCAGTTGCATTAATACTTTGGACAAATAGACAGCTGCCCCTCCCCACTGGGAGCTATGGGGAGGAGAGGCTGAAGAAACTGGCTCCTGACCATCTCAGCCCTGGAGCCTCTGACCAGCGCTCCAAGGGCAGGGAAATCTTTGGGCTGTTGAACTGTCTCTCTTCAACAGCATCTCTCGCTCGCTCTTTCTCTTTCTCTCTCTCTTTCACTCTCTGGCTCTCTGGAAACTGGCTACTCTCTTCCAACCAGATTGGGGTGGGGGGGAGTGTCCCAAGATAGGGTGTGGGTGCTCAAGGTTGGGATGGAAAGGGTCCCAGCCCCCTCCTCAGCAATCGCCAAGATGGGCCAGCACCCCAGGACTTCCTGATGTCTTGGGACTGGACAGAACACGGTGAGCCCACGTGGGCAGGTGGAAGTCTGGGAAGCTGGGGAAAGGGAGGCTGTGGCTAGAAAGGAGCTCTCCCTCTGGGTGTTGAGGAGGAGCTGGTCACTGGAAGATCGGTCACTGGCTAGGGCCCCCCTTTCCAGCTTCCACCTGGTGGAGACCTGCCCGGGATGAACTGTTCCACTGAGGGGCCTGGGCCCAGCTGGCTACAAGGGTTGCGGGGCAGGGTCCACTCAGGACTGCTGCCAAGGCCTGCAGGCCCTACTGGTCGCTCCAGCTGCAGGCCTCTCAAGGTAGCTATGCCATCCCTGGTTTAAGGTGGACTGGGGCCAGCTGGGCTAATGTTGATTATGCCAGGGTCACTGTCAGCCCGGTGGCCCCTCTCCTAATCCAGTTCTGCCCTAGCCTAGCCAGGGTCCAAGGACCTTAGGCCTGTGGGTGGGGGTGGGGCGAGCCGGGCCTGTCTCACACAGCGGCAAGGAAGAGGGGAGGTCGCTGGGGGTCAGGCTGGCATGAGTGGGGGAAGGGCAGGTGGGACTTGGGCTCCTGGGCGGGCCATGGCTTTGGCGGCGGCCTGTGTCCCCTCGCACCCCTCGGAGGGCTCCAGGCGCGGTGCAGTGGAAGATGTGGGAAGCCCTGGGGGCTCTTCCAGGCCCCTGTGTCCTAGGGGACCCAGCTCCCCTCAATCCCCCTGGGCCCTGCCCGGGGTGGGGAGACAGAGCGGGAAGTGGCGGAGAAGGCGGTAGGGGCGGCCGTCTGGCGAACTCAAGGCGCCCCCAGGACCGAGCCCCAGCGCTCCCCCTCCGGCGGGCGGGCGAACGATGGAGGCGACTGTGGCGTGGCGAAGGGCGGGCGTGCAGTTGCGGGTGCGAGGGGCATGCACAAATTCCCCGAGCGTGCGTGCGTGCGTGCGCGGGGCTGGCCCGCCCGCCGCCCTCCCTGCTCGGGGCGGGGCGGGGAGGAGAGCGAGGGGCCGAGGGCGGGGAGGCCCGGACTACTCGACGACGAGGCAGCGGGGCAGGTGCTGCGAGAAGTACTTGAAGAGCTCGGGGGTGGCTCCGGGGCAGTTGGTCAGCTCCAGCTCCTCCAGGTCCTGCAGCTGCACCAGGCCCGATAGCCCGGTGGCGGTCAGCAGCGGGCAGCCTGCGGAGGGGCGGGGCTTAGTGGGCGTGGCCCGGAGGGGTGAGACTCCGCCCTCTGGCCGGGTGGGACCTGCGCCACCGCGAGTCAACACCAGGCGTGGGTCTACACAAGGGTCCCGGCAGTGCTGGCGGAGTCGGCCTAGGTGGGGGTGAGTGGCCACTGCCCAGGAGGGCGGCACAGGGTCTCACCTGCCAGAGACAAGAGACGCAGACTCCTCATGGCCAGGAGGTGCTTCAGCCCGAAGTCCTGCACCTGGGCGGGAAGGCGGGGCGAGTTAGCTATTTCCTTTCGCGCCTCGAGGGAGCCCCACTCCTAGCGTCAGGCCGTAGGGGGCAGGGGGTAGGTTCTCAGGTCCCCACGGAGTCGCTGAGGGCCCTGGGGACTCCGTGCGCGCAGCTTGGGTGTGAAGGGATCCCAGACTTCCTTACAGGATCTGAGTGGGCCGGATGCATGCAGGTCAGCGGCATATCTGGGTGGGGGCTTTCCCCGCGCCCCCCCCCCACCTCCCCCGCCTACTCCCCAGTCTCTGGAGGCGTGGAGGGCTGATACCTGGCAGCACCATCGCAGGTAGAGGCTGCGGAGGGACGACATGGTGGACAAATAGCTGAGGCCAGTGTCCGTGATGCGTACACACCTGTGGCCGCAACAGAAGGGGTTGCCCACCTTCAAAACACTTGACCCACCCCTCAGGTCCGGCCCCTTCCTTTTCCGCCCCAGACGCCGGAGCTGAGCTACCTCCCTACCCCACCTTGCCGCGCCCCACCCAGGCTCCGCCCCCAACTGGCTGCTAGGTCGTATTCCCTGGCTGGGGGATGGGGGGCACTGCTCAGCCCCGCCCCCGTGTTATAGTCCACACTAGGCTAGCCTCTTATGAGGGCCCCGCCCCCCCTCACTGCAGCCCCCCTCTAGCTCCAGGCTTGTTCACTAGGCTCCCTTCATAGAGTTCCAGCAGCCTCGCCTGGCCCTGCCCTCTGTGGCCTAGGGGTGGGGCCGTGCACACCTGTCCAGCACAAGCTCCTCCAGGCGATGCAGGTCGCAGGCTACATACTCGAGCGCCATGTCAGTGATGCGCGGGCACCAGGAGAGGTCGAGGCTGCGGAGCTTCCGCAGGTTCTCGGCCACGAGCTCCACGCCGTCATCCGTGACCTTGGAGCAGCCGGAGAGGCTGAGCGCGGTGAGGTTGGGCAGGCTGTGCACCACGTTGACCACGCCATGGTTGGTGATCTCCCAGCAGGAGAGCAGGCGCAGCGTGTGCGTGCTGTGGCCCTGGCGCGCCGTGAAGTAGGCCAGCGCTGTGTCCGTCACGTGGTAGGCCTGCAAGCTCAGCTCGGCCAGGTTGGGCAGCAGCTGCGAGATGGCCGCGATGGCGTCGTCGGCCACGTTGATGCAGTCGCTCACGCTCAGCGAGGTGATCCGCGCACTCAGGCTGGACCACAGCCCAGCCTCAGTGAAGTCGTTGCAACCTGACAGCTCCAGGCGCACCACGCCCTGCATCTGCTCCAGCATCACCTGTGGACAGGTGCAGGGTCAGGAGGGGGTCAGGAGGCCTCCATGGGGCTCAAGCCTACTGTGGTTTCCCAGGCATGACACTCCCCACGGGCATGGTGGGCTGATCGCAGACAGGGTGGAAGGAGCCTGCCGAGGGGCAGGAAGATGTGTTCTTGAGGGTGCAGACAGTGTAAACACCCATCAAGCTGGACTCTGCCAAGTGCACTTTACAGTGTGTTCGTTACACATAAACAACATTCTTAAGAGAGGAGGCAGGGCACAGGAGATCTGGGAGTCCGAGGCCAGGCTGGAGCAGGTGCTCAGAGCCCTTGGTGTTAATGATGCAATGATTAGAGTCCCCTTCCTGGGGAAGGGGCCGCCTCCACAGCTGCTCCTCTGACCTTTGCCCCTGCTTCTCCCACCTCACTGCTGCCTGGCCCAGCCCCCCACCCCTGCTCCTCTGGGCCCGTGGCCGTGCGCACCTCCAGGCCGGCGTCAGTGATGGTGGAGCGCTTGAGGCTCATGGCTTTGACACCCTTCTTGGAGAGCGCATAGTTGTCGATGAACTCACAGATGTCCAAGTCAGAGACGCCGACCAGGCAGAAACCCTCAAAGCCACGTGCCGCGAAGCCCTGTAGGTTCACGAACTCCTTCTCACCTCCAGGCAGCACTGTATAGAGCTCCTTGGCGTGCAACACAGGCGTGAGACCGGCCCAGAACTTGGGCTGGTAGAGCACACGCCTCCAGGCCTTGCACACTTGCGCCAGCACACACTTCTCGCAGGCCGAGAAGTACCAGAAAAGGCCATTGAGGATCTTCTCATCTGTGGCCAGGGGTGGTCGCTCTGCTGGGGGCCCGGACACTGGGGCTAAGGCTGGTCCACCAAGGGGGAGCCCTGCCTGGGGGCACAGGCCCCCGGCCAGGGCAGCCCGGGGCGGTGGGGCAGCCAGGCTGGGTGGTGGGAGGGTGGGTGGGGGTGGCTGGCAAGGGCGGTTCTTGGCAGCTGGCGTGCCCTTGGTGATGCTGGCTGCACCCAGGCCGTTGGGCTGGCCCGGCAACTTCACCAGGCCATTGCGAGGCAAGCATGGAGGCTTGGGGTCGCCGTCGATGCCCGGGCTCGACATCTTCCTCGCTCGGGCTGCAGACAGGGTCCAGGAGACGGCAGTGAGTCCTGTGCAGGAGGACTAGGTTCCGCCCCATTCCCTGGCGGCCCCTCCCAGGCCATTCTCAGAATCGCCCAAGAGAAAGGGTCTGAGTGTAAGCCCTGCCTCCCTGACTGAGCAGGTGCAGGAAGGCAGGGCTGGTCATGACTACAACACTCCCGAGCACCTACTGTATGCACTGAGCTCAACCTCCACCCACCACAGAGCTTTTTGACCCCCAGGTTCTTTGGAGGACAGAACAGAGGTGGAGGGACACTTGCTGGTGACTGCCCCCTTCACCTCTGCTGCCCACCATCGGTGCCTGCCAGGCCTCTCTCTGCCAGGCAGGGCTGGGGAACTGAGGGTTTGGGGCATTCTCTGACCACTCCTCTATGCCACACCAGTGTAGCTCTCTGGAATGATTTAAGTGCTCCATCTGAGGCTCATGCACTGAGAATCTCCGTGGCTGCAGGAGGTTCTGTGGCTCAGAACGTACCCAGAGAAAGGGCAAGTGTCTTCCCAGGGTACTCACGGTGATGCCATCACTATGAGCCCTGCACACATATTGTTTCCTTAATCTTCCACTCAACCCATGGAGGACGAGGCTTTGATGATTGTACCCATTGTACAGATGAGGAAACCATAGCTTGAGGCAGCATGAATTGCTTGCCTGAGGTCACAGTAAGTGGTGGAGCCAAGACAAAGACAGAGAACTGGCTACGGAAGGCTATGTGTAGGGATCTTCCCACAGGGTGGGGCTGAGACCCCCCCACCCCGTCCCCCTGCTCAGGCCTCCAAGGCTGTGAATGGGTGGCAGAGGGCACTGGATGCAGATGACCCCAGAGAGAAGAGGCAGTGGGCCCCTCACAGGGCTACCATCTGCCTCTCGTTGCAGATCTCCTGCCGTCCCCACCCCTGACACTCAGCAAGGAGGTCACCCCAAATGGCTGTGTGGTCTTGGGGAGCCCTTTACCTGCTCCGAGCCTCACTGTCCTCACTTCAAAGCTTGGGGGTGATGACATGCCCCATGGAACAGCACGAGAAGAAGAGGGTAAGTGCAGGGCGCGGCTCACAGGGAGCTTGCTGGCCCAGGGGGCGGGGGCCAGTGGTCCTGCCCCGCCCTTCCCAGCGTCACACCCCCCACTGGTTTCCAAGCCCTGGGCAGGACAACACTGGCTGGCATTCCACATCCTGGGCTGGGCCCAAGGGTCTAACTGGGACACATGGCCCTCGTGGCTGCCAGCCCAGCTTTGAGTCCAAAGGCCTTCCTGCCATGAACCTTCAGGCTGCCAGTCCACGCCCCAAGAGGAGACCCCCACACCTTGGCTGCCCCTTCACTGCAGGTCATGACCAGGTAGTTGCATTCCTCACCTGGGCTAATACACGACATCCCTAACAGCACTTGCGAAAGGCCCACTGGGATAATTGTGTATGTCAGCCTCACAACAGCCCGGCTGGGGGGCACAGGGGAAGCACTGCTGTGATCACGGCTTTCACACCAGGAACCTGAGGCTCCCAGGAGTTACAGCTGCCCACAGTGGCAGGGGTGGCACAGCGTGAGGGCTGCCCCAGACCCCTTAATGCCAGTACATAGGAGGGGCCATCCTGGGACAACCGCGCCGCATGGAGGGACAGTATGAAGCCCACAAGTGCCCCCCCCCCATCCTGGGGCCAGGTGGGAGAGTATCCTGGCAATTCCCTCGTGCGGGCTGTGCTGGTTAGAGGGGCAGCCCCTGTCTGAATACTTTTTGCGTCCCCAGAGCAGGGCGCGCCCGGCGGCGGCAGCACCATGGACAGCGCCCCCGCAGGCGCCTCGTGCGTGCTCCGGGGCCGGGCCGGGTCGGGCCGCGCCACCACGGACAGCGGCAGCGCGCGGCGGATAGGGCATGGCCCGGCAAACTCAGCTCGGCTGGGAGGGGCCCGGGAGGCTTGCGAGGGGAGGGGGGAGAAGACGCCCGCTCGGCTAAGATCCGGAGGAGGAGGTGGCGGAGGCGGCACCAAGGGAGAAATAACTCAAGAGCAGTGCCGATTTAGGTTGAAAATTCTCCCAGCCATGGGTGCGCACGTGGAGCCTGAGTCGAGGGGATCACGTGTATGCCCCGGGCATCCGCGGGGCTCCCTTCCGTCCCCCACAGGAGCTCACATTTGCATACACCCACAGTCCCAGCCCCAGCCCCCAGACCTCTGGGTGGAGCCCATCCACGGAAAAGAGCTTACAGCAACCTGCAGGGAGTGTCCGAGGCCTGGCCGCCCCTCTTTCCACAGCCCCTGGCCGGCCTGTCTGTTAGCCTCCCCGCCCCCTACGTTCTGGGTTTGAGCACCCTTCCCAGAGGCAGGCCTGCTGCTCCCCGACCTTGTCCACAGTCTTGCACTCCAGCGGCTCTTCACACTCCAGCCTCGCTGACTTAGTCTGAGCCCTGGATCTTCAGCTCAGAACTGGAAACAGCCACACCTTAGCGCAGGGGTCAGGGCTTTGGGACAATGCTCAAATCAGAAATGGGTCTTCCTGCCGGTGAGGCAAGAGGCCCCTCAGCCTGGCTCTGACCCCCTGACCCAGCAGACAGTTGCAGAGCCTCCGCCTTCCTGGCACCTGCCCCCACTGCACCCAGTGTGTCCAGGAGGACCCACCTGGTCTTCCTGTCAGGACGGGGCAGGGGCAGCCAGTCCACTGGGGACTACTCCCCTTTAGGGAGAAGCACCAGCAGCTAACACGCAGGGAAAGAGGCTTTTAAAATAAGACGGTCAGGCTCGCACTATTCTCAGTCTCAGCCCCTGGTGTGCCGTGTCTCCATGAGGGGTGGGATTCTGGGGGAGGGCTTCTCCTGTGATGGCTGCAGGGGCTCCAGGCTCCTGGTTCACCACAGGAGGAGGGAGGTGGTCACTAGTTTAGCTTCTTGTCTTCACCAGCTGAGCCAGAGGTGAATCAGGGAGAGCAAACCAGGCCTCTGCTTCCCCAGCAGACTCACGGGAACCGTGGGGGCAGAGGGCACCTGGGGAGCACCGTGAGTCCTGCAAGGACTCCAGACCTTGGTGGCTTCCAGGTCTGGAGATGGCCATGCTGGGGCTTCCTGAGGAGCTGCCTCTTCTACAGATGAAGTCACTGGGCCCCGAGACCCAGCAAGTCCACCTTAGAGCCTCACTTCCAGCCCCTTTCCAGACCTGACCCTACAGTTCAGCCAGACCTGCTGTCCTGTACTCCCCTATCCCTCTGCCCGGGCACATGCTGGTCCCCTGCTTGCTCAGGAGGCCTCCGGGCACATGCTGGTCCCCTGCTTGCTCAGGAGGCCTCCAGGATCCTTAACCCCGCAAGCTCCTCCTGTTCTATCCTTCAGTGTGAGCACCGCCCTGCCTCTCCCCATGCGACCCCTGGCCTGAAAGCATCTCCAGATGTCCGCCATGACGTGGACTATCATCACTGTCTACCTGTCTGTCTCTCCTGAGGACAGACAGCATGACGGCTGAATGGCTGAATGAATGAAGAATGCCAGTCCAATGATCAGGGTCATGTAGAAAGGGGTGCAGTTTCCCCGGAGGCAGGACGGAGGGCAGTCGACGGAAGGGCTGGGGCTCAGCTCCTCAGTCTGGGTTGTGACACGGGCCGGTGTCCATGGGGGAGTGAGAGAGTGATGTCAGGGTCTCTGGGAAGGCTCCCAAGACCCTGGGGCTTGGGGCGGGCTGTGCCTTTACTCAAACCTTTGGGAAGGGGATGGCTTGTGTCTCCTTTTTGTCCGAGTCCCCCCCTTGAGGGCTGCAGGGTTGAGGGTGCTGGTTGCCTGTTCCCCATGGTTGGGCCGGACCAGGGGGGAAGGGACAGGAAGCATTAGAAGGGAGGGAAGCTTCCCAGCACCACATCCCCCTGCTGCACTGCTGGTCTCAGCCCATCACACACTGCCCAACCACAAGCCGGGACAGCAAGTTTCAGAGTACATTTTCAGAAGTTGCACAAAGCTAGGATTTGACCCCAAGTCCTCCAGCTGTCTGACTCCCAAGACTCAGGCCAGGCATGGCTGTCCAGAGTGCAACCCTGCGCCCCCACCCACCCACCCTGCCTGCTCCCGCCTGCTGCTGCTGCCTCCTTTCTCTGCTCTGTTCTGCTTCAGTCCCTATGCTCTCCCAGCCTGGAGCCCTGGGCTGGGGGCCTCTCCCAGTGTGCCCCCTGTCATGCCCCTGCTCTCCTTCCAGAGGCTGCAAGCTGCGCGTCGACCACTGAGACACTCATCTTTGGGACTGCTCATACCCAGGAAGAGTGCTCATACCCACCTGTCACGGTCCTCAGCTCAGAGGCCTCTTCACTCATCCCTGATACCCCATCTAAAACAGTAGAACCTGCACTGACCAGTTCCCCCTACTGGCTGAGGGCCATCGAGCTGGACAAGGCACGGGTAGCCAGAAAAGCTCATATCAGATCAACCTGCAACAGCAGCCCAGGGGCTGGGGTGACGACCGGGGTAGCTTGGGGTTGAGGACACAGCGCAGGCTGACAAATTCCGTGACAAAGCTCTGTGACTCAGGCACGCTCACATCCCTACCACGTTGCACACATCCTAGCAGCAGCGCTCCCCTCCCGCCCCCAGCTCAGAGATGCTTGGGGGTGTGGGTTGCCCCACCCGAGTGCCTGGGGCTCTGGAAAGGCAGCATGTGGGGCTCAAGAGAGAGCCGAGTTGGTGCTCCAGCAGAGCACGTCCTGTGGCCAAGCTCAGCCACATGGGACTGGGTGCCTCCAGGAGTACGTGCCAGGCTCCAGGCCTCTCTGCTCCGTGCCCTCCAGGGCATGGGGCATCCAGTGCCTCAAACACTGCCCAGGGGATGCACGTGTCCAAGCCCACCCTCTGCAATGGGTCTGACTGAGGCTCCCCTGGGCCACTGGGTGGGGAGGTTCCGGGCCACCCACTTCGCTGCCACCTCCGCTCGTCCCTCAAGCCAGCCCTCAGACACAGCAGCAGCTCCCACGTGTGATGAGACGGGGGCTGCAGACAGCTCACAGTGCCAGCCCAGGAACCCCTTCCCCAGACCTGGTTCACCACAGGAGGAGGGAGGTGGCCACTAGTTTAGCTTCTTGTCTTCACCAGCTGAGCCAGAGGTGAATCAGGGAGAGCAAACCAGGCCTCTGCTTCCCCAGCAGACTCACGGGAACCGTGGGGGCCAGAGGGCACCTGGGGAGCACCGTGAGTCCTGCAAGGACTCCAGACCTTGGTGGCTTCCAGGTCTGGAGATGGCCATGCTGGGGCTTCCTGAGGAGCTGCCTCTTCTACAGATGAAGTCACTGGGCCCCGAGACCCAGCAAGTCCACCTTAGAGCCTCACTTCCAGCCCCTTTCCAGACCTGACCCTACAGTTCAGCCAGACCTGCTGTCCTGTACTCCCCTATCCCTCTGCCCGGGCACATGCTGGTCCCCTGCTTGCTCAGGAGGCCTCCGGGCACATGCTGGTCCCCTGCTTGCTCAGGAGGCCTCCAGGATCCTTAACCCCGCAAGCTCCTCCTGTTCTATCCTTCAGTGTGAGCACCGCCCTGCCTCTCCCCATGCGACCCCTGGCCTGAAAGCATCTCCAGATGTCCGCCATGACGTGGACTATCATCACTGTCTACCTGTCTGTCTCTCCTGAGGACAGACAGCATGACGGCTGAATGGCTGAATGAATGAAGAATGCCAGTCCAATGATCAGGGTCATGTAGAAAGGGGTGCAGTTTCCCCGGAGGCAGGACGGAGGGCAGTCGACGGAAGGGCTGGGGCTCAGCTCCTCAGTCTGGGTTGTGACACGGGCCGGTGTCCATGGGGGAGTGAGAGAGTGATGCCAGGGTCTCTGGGAAGGCTCCCAAGACCCTGGGGCTTGGGGCGGGCTGTGCCTTTACTCAAACCTTTGGGAAGGGGATGGCTTGTGTCTCCTTTTTGTCCGAGTCCCCCCCTTGAGGGCTGCAGGGTTGAGGGTGCTGGTTGCCTGTTCCCCATGGTTGGGCCGGACCAGGGGGGAAGGGACAGGAAGCATTAGAAGGGAGGGAAGCTTCCCAGCACCACATCCCCCTGCTGCACTGCTGGTCTCAGCCCATCACACACTGCCCAACCACAAGCCGGGACAGCAAGTTTCAGAGTACATTTTCAGAAGTTGCACAAAGCTAGGATTTGACCCCAAGTCCTCCAGCTGTCTGACTCCCAAGACTCAGGCCAGGCATGGCTGTCCAGAGTGCAACCCTGCGCCCCCACCCACCCACCCTGCCTGCTCCCGCCTGCTGCTGCTGCCTCCTTTCTCTGCTCTGTTCTGCTTCAGTCCCTATGCTCTCCCAGCCTGGAGCCCTGGGCTGGGGGCCTCTCCCAGTGTGCCCCCTGTCATGCCCCTGCTCTCCTTCCAGAGGCTGCAAGCTGCGCGTCGACCACTGAGACACTCATCTTTGGGACTGCTCATACCCAGGAAGAGTGCTCATACCCACCTGTCACGGTCCTCAGCTCAGAGGCCTCTTCACTCATCCCTGATACCCCATCTAAAACAGTAGAACCTGCACTGACCAGTTCCCCCTACTGGCTGAGGGCCATCGAGCTGGACAAGGCACGGGTAGCCAGAAAAGCTCATATCAGATCAACCTGCAACAGCAGCCCAGGGGCTGGGGTGACGACCGGGGTAGCTTGGGGTTGAGGACACAGCGCAGGCTGACAAATTCCGTGACAAAGCTCTGTGACTCAGGCACGCTCACATCCCTACCACGTTGCACACATCCTAGCAGCAGCGCTCCCCTCCCGCCCCCAGCTCAGAGATGCTTGGGGGTGTGGGTTGCCCCACCCGAGTGCCTGGGGCTCTGGAAAGGCAGCATGTGGGGCTCAAGAGAGAGCCGAGTTGGTGCTCCAGCAGAGCACGTCCTGTGGCCAAGCTCAGCCACATGGGACTGGGTGCCTCCAGGAGTACGTGCCAGGCTCCAGGCCTCTCTGCTCCGTGCCCTCCAGGGCATGGGGCATCCAGTGCCTCAAACACTGCCCAGGGGATGCACGTGTCCAAGCCCACCCTCTGCAATGGGTCTGACTGAGGCTCCCCTGGGCCACTGGGTGGGGAGGTTCCGGGCCACCCACTTCGCTGCCACCTCCGCTCGTCCCTCAAGCCAGCCCTCAGACACAGCAGCAGCTCCCACGTGTGATGAGACGGGGGCTGCAGACAGCTCACAGTGCCAGCCCAGGAACCCCTTCCCCAGCCTCCAGGCAAGAGGTCTCCCTGGTCCCCGCAGCGCAGCCCTTCTCGAGGCTGGGCCCAGCTGGCCTGAGTGTCTGGGTGCTCTGACCTCCAGCCACTTGTTTCCTTCTGACCAGTGGGTGACAGGATTTGTGCAAATGCCCTGAAAGTGGGTGTGAGCTGGAGGGCGGCATCGGCCCCGTGAACCCCTGCAGCGTCAGAGATGCCCGTAGGCCTGGCCCACAGCAAGGGGAGGCAGATGCCCCCAGGCCCCTGGTGAGGGGGAGCCAGGCCACGGAGGCAGCAGGCACTGGGCTAGGTGAGTCCTGGGGTCCCATGGAGCCTGCATGGCCTCCCTGCTCTGTGTGTTTGGGACTGGGCCTTGAATCCCCCTCCTCCCCAGACAGCCTCGGCCAGCCCCAGGGCCATCTCCTGTGGAGCCAGTGAGTCGCCCTGGGGGAGCCCAAACCTCTCAGGCTCCCAACCCACCAGGCCTCCTGCCCCAAGGCTGCTGTCCGGTATCCTTCGAAGGCATCTGTGGGCAGAAAGGGCCCCAGGCTCTACCCGGCACCAGGGGGGCCTGGGCTGACCCTGGTCCATGGGCCCTGTCCATGGAGGGAAGGCCTCCCCTGCAGAGGCTGGGAGGGGTGAAGGAGCAGCCGCCAGGCTGCAGACTCTTGGAAGCTCCAACAGCCAGACCTTCTCTCCTTCTTGGGTCATGGGTGGGGGACTCCTACACCCACTCAAACCCCCAGAAGGACAGACCCTCCTCCAGCAAGTCTCAGGGTGCCCAGCTCTGCTTCTGGGGCCCTCCAGCCTTGGCTAGCGCCCGGCCCCTCCTCCAGAGCACACGTGGCCAGCGCCCTCCCTTCCTCTCGACCTCCCACTGTGGCAGCTCCGTGCAGGGCCGGGCTCAGGTGTCCAGGGGCAGGTCAGCCACCGGCCTCGCGTTCACAAGCTCCTCCTGGAGTGTAACTGTATCTAACACCTGTCTCCAGGCCCAGGGGCTCACGGTGCTGGGCTGAGGAGTCCCGAGTGCTGTGGGGTCCGGTACCTCACCCAGGCAGCCCAGCTGGAGGCCTGTAATTAGGCGTCCACGGGGGAACAGCACGGTGGCACCGACCCACAGCCTTGGTCCAGTTGCCATGGGGATCCGGCCTCAACCAGGCAGCCACTGGGGTGAAGGGCTGGGGGGAGGCCCGGCAGGGCTGGAGGCCCAGCTGCAGCCGCCAGGGAAGGGGCTGCGGTTACGTAAGCCCCGGGGGGGGG